CGATGGACACACCGGCGAGTCACCGAGGGTCGCCGAGGGTCACCCTAAGTGACGCAAATTGTTTGCGCAGAAACTGCTCGCGCGTTGCGTCGCCGAGCTAAGATTTTCGGATGAAAACTGCGGTGCATCTTGACGATAGATTGTTTCCCGCGACATGCAACGGTGAAAAATAAGTTTGCTCGGACCTAGCCGGCGATGGACGAGCAAACGCGTTTCGGTCGAACGGAACAGATTTTCTTCCAACGGCAAATTAAGCTGTCCTGAGGACAAGCTCGCTCAGCAGAATATTTCCTATCCTGGATAAATTGTTTCTACATCGAATTATGAGTAATTAATTAATTTAGACAGGACACATAAATTGTGTCGCTGTCGCGACGAATATGCAACGATGGTTTCGCTACAACAGCAAAACGACTTTTCCTCTTGCGAGCACCAAACTTTTTCTGCCTCGAGAGAACTAGGAATTGTGGTTTCACTGTCAGATAGAACCAACCGAACTCATTTTTCGGTGAGCTGGCGGTAGTGCAAATTGACACTCGATATAATTAAAACAGAAATGACAACGTAAATGAATAAATTGACAACGTCATAAGTGTCGGAAAACGGAGAAGAAGGGCATCCCCAGGATGCGTCTCGCGCGCGCGACCCGAAGATGGCCCAAGGAGACGGTGGTAACCCCGGAAAAGGAATCGCCTGTATTTATCTAGCATCTCTGATAATCGAATTATCGTCCGGCCAGCGGTGCTTTCTTTCCATTCGATTCGACGATTGTAGAGAGAGACGCGCGACGATACCTTCGAGTGAACCGAGCACTCCCGGTGCAATTTATCCGCGCGGACTCTCGGGGGAATTCCGCGTGTTTGCGAACGGCGTTTCGCTCGCCGGCTAACGAGGTCGGTCGTGTTCCTAACTGTCGTTACACCTCGATAGGTCAATGTATCCGAGAACGTAATCCGTAGCGTAATTGATCCATTATTTTCTCTGGATATAATAGCGAACAGAAGGAGGACCGCCCTTCGCGGATGGCGATCGATTTTACTCCGGGCCGCGCGCTCTGTTTATTTAAAGTCCTGGAATTTCCGCGGAATTGAGGTTAACGCGTGGGAACATAAACGACGGAAACCTCTCCCCGTACTCCAGATAGACTTCCATTTAATTCGACGTAACATCGGAATATCGAATTGCAGTCCGAACGACATAATTTCCAGCAACATCGTTACTAGAACGTTATTACAATGACATCTCATAACATGCGACGTTTTCAAATCTGTCGTTCTTAACGCTGTATATACAACGTTATTGTTATACAATACTTAACCGGAATATTAAATATAATATTTCCACATTATGATTTTAACGCGGAAAAAAGAAATTAGCTGCCCATATGATAAAACTGAAATTTAATTACCGGACCTAATTTTCAGCTGTTAGTTTTCAGGAGCTCAAAACCAGGCACGGGGACCAAGGTATTAGACAAATTAACGAAAATTCAGTTCTATTGTATAGACGGCTAATTTTTACCCGTGGAAGCTGATTCTTAGGTTACTATAGGAACTAATTCCTTCTTTCCGTGAATATCCCGGAATATTGTCTTATCGCATAACAATTGAAAAGCAGAAAATATTACGTTAAAATGCGTTCATGAAATCCACCAAAAAATCCACGCTTCAAAGATTGCTTTTCGAACGTTCCTTGGATACCGGGTTCCGGCGCGAATCAAATCGAATTGACCGCGCACGCGAGAACTTGCCGATCCGTCGTGCGAACGTCCTCCTCTCGAATCAGCCGCAGTCATCCCGCCGAATGATAGCCGCTATTTTGTCGCGCCGAAACAATCCGGTTAAGCCGACAATCTCGCCCACAATTACGAAGTTTGTTGCGCCCGGCGAGAAATCTGCGAAGGGATGGCGGCGACGGCGGCCGGGCGGCAGGCAGGATCGACGGGGGCGCGGGGGGGACGCAGAACAAGGAGGCAAAATCCATCTGGTGATTTCACAGGCAATTATGCCGCGTCGCCGTGGCCGGGCGCGGGTGGCTTACTCTTATTTAACGCCAATGTGCGCGCGCGGAGCACGCCTCGCCGACCACCGGCGTGAATCGCCCGCCGCCGCCGCCGCTATCCCATTTGCGCGAAATTGTCAATGATAGAATGGCGCCGCAGGATCGAAAACCCCGCATTCAGCGTCCCCCCGCGGCACCCTCCCCGCGGCATTCTCTCGTTTTTTTCCTCTCTTTCCCCCGCGCTTTCCTCTTTCGCACTCTTTCCGACCCAAAAACCGCGCGATAGCTCTTTCCTCTCCTCTGCCGGTTTAACCTTCCCCCCTCTCTTCCCCTTTGCCTGCCTGCCCGCCACGGGGGAGGTTCGCGAATGGCCGAATTTAATGAGACTCCGCGAATTTTTAGAGCAAATAAATGTGTGTTTATATAATTTCGATATTTTTCCGTGGACTTTTAAAGCCGCCTACCAGTGAAGTGGCACCCCCCTCGGCGAAATTATACACAATGATGGGGGTAACTATTTTCTCTCATTCGGGCATTCGTCCGTGAAAGTCATTCGGTATCTCAGCGCGCGCCCTCGCGGATTGGCTCGTGAGATTACATCCCGGCGGAACGCGATGTTTCTTGTTAAGTTTTCGTAATTGCGAATTGCCGTTTCTGCCGCCACGGGGTTGCAATCGCGGCAACCCCGAAGAGGCCGTCGCGCTCTCCTTTTTGTCGCGGCGCGAAACTTCCTCGCGCTGCGACTCGAAAATAAACTCGCGGGCAAACTCGCCCTCGCGATCATTGGCCCGGGGAAAAGTTAAGCTGAGATTCGAGAGAATCGGAGGAAATCGTAGTTACATCGCGGTGAGATTTTCACGAACAGATTTCAGGATCTTCTCGTCTTCCTCGCGCGGAAAAAAGTAATCGGTTGTCCATATTATGTAACGTGATACAACTGAAACTCAGTTACCGGATTTAGTTTTCAACCGCGGGAGCTAAAAACTAGGTACAGGGACAAAAAGAATTAGCTGAATTAAACCTCCAACGACAAGGTGAATTTTCAACGTATGTTGTTTTTAGAGGGTTAACTGAACTTTCAGTTGAATTGTATAGACATAGAATTTTTACCTGCGAAAGCTAGTTTCCAGCTGTAGGAGTTACTTCTTTTTCGTGCGGTCGCGCAAAGTCATAGAACCAATTTATTGAAAAGTATCGACACTACTTCGCTGATTTGCATTTTTTCGCGTTGAAATGACCTTTGATTTCTTTGATTTGACATTACACGAGAATTTCTACGACCCGTTCTGTGTCTTCACTGCAAATTGCGAGCTTGAAGGAACCTGAGAAAATCTGAGGAAACTCGAAAGACCCCTGAAGAATTTATTCTTTGCCATACGTCACATGTTCCGCCTATTATATTTTTAGCCTGAAAGCACGAAAGTAAAAGATCCTGAAGAAGAAGTTACCGTCCGTTGCCGGCAACATGGCCGCCCGCTGCTCCATCCTTCGACTTCTCGTGCCTCACACCCCTAGCCTGAATAACCGCCTATTTCCCTTATATTCTTGCGTCTGTACACCTTCATCTCCCTATATAGCCCGGCTCTCCTTCCCGCCTACCTTCCTTCTCCTACGCTGAAGAACGGAAATTTGTTGCCGTTGCACGAAGTCGAGTTTTCCGAATGTCGCCAGCGCCAATGAGATTAGCGCCGCGAGAAACGGTAATCAGGAATAAAAATGCGTCAACCGGCGGTATTTACGCTAACTAATCTCCTTCGCAGGACGGAGAGGCGCTAACGGAGTTACTCGGCTTCGTCGTCACTCTCTCCCTCTCCCCCCTCTCTCTCTTCGTGTCGCTCGACCGTCGCTTGTTAGCCGAGTAATTGGCCATTTTTATGCTAAGCAGAGCTACCATCGACGTAGTCGTCGTCCTCGTCTTCGTCGTCACTGTAGCGTCCCTCCCGCGTCTTTCTTCCACCATTTCGCGGCTTAACCCTGCGAATAGACCGTGCCCCCCCTCCATCCCCCTCCTTTTTCGTTCCCCACGGAAGAACATATTCTTCGCTCACGGATATCAAGGTCATTAAGTACACGCGAATTCGGGGAGAGCCGTAATCGTCAGCATTCGGGAGATAACTCGACGCATCAAAGGGTGGTGGACTCGTGTCCTTTTAAGAGGTCGATACGGTCGCACTCGCGACCTAATAAATTCATTATCTGCCGGCGGAGGGGGAGGGGGTGCGCTCTCCGGGCCACTTTTCCTCTCCTTAAGTGGCGCAAGTGGCGAGCGTAATCCGGATGCTCGCGCGCCTCCCGCGAAACTCCGCCTGCGACTCGACGAGCTCGCTCTCTCTCTCTCTCCTCCGGCTTAGCGCCGGCAACTTTTCGTATTAATAATCGGTATAATAATTAGTATTTTCACGCGCGACTTAGCAGGAAGGACGCGCCGGCGTCGACGTCGGCGTCTCTCGGCGTCTCTCGGTGTCTCGGGGTTGGGAAGTTCGCCCAAGATCTTGATTTTAAGTTCGCCAAGAGCGAAGGAGGCGCATATTTCACCGCGCTAATGTCCCGCCAGATAAACTACAATATTAGCTGCCTTCACCCGTGATTTAATTTAACTTTGCCCCGGCGCGACATCCGCCCCGAGTATTTCGCCTACGAGCTGCTCGCCGCCGGCGCGGTTCGCGTCGGGTTTACCCGTTATAATCTCTATCGCGAGTCGGAGTGGATGCGAATTCCCGACGAGGAAAGATCGGCTCTTCGGACTCGTCGGAGAGTGTCCGGCTAGCAGGAAACGCGCAAGCCCCGGGAGACGCGCGTGCAATTGTCGTTTGAGCTCCTCTCGTCTCAGCACGAGGATTAAAGTAATGTTGTATTTGAAAAAAGATATTCCTTTTTCCTCATTAAATGGGAGTACCCTGCGCTTCCGTACAATAACTCGCTTAATTTGTGCGAGTATTTTCGTATCTAACGAAGTTCACAAGATTGAGGTATATCTGAATGAAAGCCAGATATTATTTGTTTGATTTATGTTATTTTTGCATACGTTTCCAACAATATACGCACACCTTTTCTTTTATTTTGGTATAAAAATATGTTCATCTTTGGAAAATGCGCATAGAGAAGCGCGGATTAGCGTCTCTGATTAAGCCAGTGTCGCTTTCTGGTTCTTCGAGACATCCTCCACATAAGTATCATCCTTGGAGAACCTGGCGTAACTATGACGGCAAAACAACACGAACGTCACGAGCACGTCGTTTTAGTACACATTCGTTAGAAAATTAAATTCGAATTCTTTTCACATACGCATATCTACTTACACGTTGGTGTATTTCGACTTTTCCGCGGCGGACAAGGACGGCCTGATCGATTTGACGGAGTCCACGAGATGCTTCTGCACGACTTTGATGTCGGATGCGTCGATTTTGCCGTTCTATTATTGGTAAGCGAAAAAATTAACATAAAATATTTCGCATATAACACATATCAATATATACAGGGTAAGATAATAACTATTGCCATCTCGAATAGCTTCAAAAAATTCGATATTTTATTAACGATTACAGGCGATCATTGCAATTTCTGTCAGATCAATTTTCCCCTATACTACTCTTGTATCATATATATTTCGAGTGTATTCAAGGCAGTAATAGTTATTGTCTTAACCTGAATAAAAGGAAATATTATATTGAAATATGATAGGGCAATATTGTATCTTTTATGCATTCGAAACATGTAATTTATCATTCGCTATCTCGTTCGTCGCGCGGAGCGTTCGAAAAGATATTATTGAGTCCGTCCCGGCGCAACGCTGCAAAAGCTCAATGTTGCGTGTCGGCAGCGCCGATTAGAATTAATTATTGGATTTAAGCACGTCCACATTGCCACGGCAGAGACATCCCACGCTCCTATCCGCATAATCGCTTATCACGCCGAGGCGTCTCTATCTCGTCCTCTCCCTCTCCTTCTCTCTCTCCTCTCTCTTTCCGCGACGCGCTCTCCGGAAACTCGCTCGCTAATTAGACGCACAGTTTGGATACTCGCGTTCTTCCGGGAGGTAAGTGCCGCCGTGTAACTTCGTTTTCTCCGATGCGAATTAATTAATAGCTTCCCGTGAGACGCGTCGTGAGTCTCTCTTAAGAGACGCCCCTGCGACCTTAACGCGGGCCCGATTAAGCAATTCTGATTAATTAGACCAGACAGACGGAGCATGTGAGTGACCATTAAATTTCCCCCCTGTTCTTGCACTCATACGGAATAACTTAATTATATCTTAATAATAAAACACGGTGTGAATTGTTCACACACGGAGAAAATATTCTAGTAAAAATTATTACAAAACTTTGTAATGCCGGATAGTACCGGAGTTACGGCTAAAATTATTATGTGTATTGCAGCCTTTAGTGATGTGTACGATGAAATACGTCACTGAAGATTACGACACACATTATAATTTCATTATGGTTCGGTATTGCAAAATTTTGTAGTAATTTTTACTACAATATCTTCCGCGTGCACTTTTCATATTCTTCTGTTCGGTAGGAAGAATATTCAGAGCTTGCAAAAGCTCGTCGGATCTTTTGGTTACGTTAAGAAAAGTGTGCATATGTCATATTCAATTAAAGTATCTACCATCATCACCCACCACTTTCCGCCACCTTTCGGATAAAAGTTCGAACCTACGTCTGTAAAGTGACTCGTCCTTTCGATGAAACGAAAGCTAACGAAAGCAACGTCGGTCCGACAAACTTTTGCCTAAAATCCCGAATCAAACTAATGATTACGTTAACCATCGATTAATGACCCTGATCCAAGTTCACCGAGCGCAGAAAATATTCCCCCTCCGTCTCGTTGAGATAAAACAGCGCTTTTCCGCTCGACGTCAGCCGAGTTGAATCGATAGGTACAAATGAATATGTACGAGACACACTCGCGAATGTGCGGAGGATTAACGGCAAGCACGTCGAAGACGTTCGGGGGAGAGGGAGAGAAGAGAGAGGAGGGGGGNAACGAGCGCTGTAACTAACGGAATGGCTGCCTGGCTTTCGATCTTGCAGGACCGCTGCGGGCCCTAAACCGCGTATCATTATAACGCATAAGATAATAACCCCCTCGACGTTCAGCGAGGCGTGGGGTGGCCGGGGGGGGATGAAGCGGAGCGCCAAAGGGGGGGTGGGAGCGCTTGGTCGCTCGGCGCTCTCGGCACCGTGCGCTAATAAACCTGGTCTACGTTTCCTCGGTTATATCGCGGCACCTACAGCCCCTGCGGCCCCCTTCGATCCCCCTGCCTCCTCAGCCGCCCTCACCGCCCCCTATCCAGGCGCGCTCCCGTGTGTACACACCGTAGGGTGCACACCTAACGATATTATCGTCATTACGCACTATCTTACTTCGGAAGCTCCCCTACAAATGATTCTCGGGCGAGTCGCGCGAGAAGCGCTTTTCATTACGACGACGATACTCAGATACAACAACACAACAGCAACAACAGATTATTCTTGCTGCGGCGGCAGCAACGACAAAATGATGTGGCCATTAGCGACGCGATCTCCGTTTCGCACAAAAGTCCGAGTCAACGAGGTGGTTTGAGAGATCGATCGCGGGTCGGCAGGTGGAGGCCACCCTGCGAAGTCCCGCCGCTCGGGTTTATCGCGCCCCGACCGACCTCGTGTATGCCCGAATACTCGCACGTGCTTATTGCGAGGGACGTTAACGAATCATTTTCTTCGGGTTCATCGGTAGTGATCGCACCGATGCGACAAGCGACGATAACGTCAACTCGTTCCTTGTTTCTCCGGGTGTTTCCGAATTCGACGGTCGAGAGGCTTCTCCGGAGGCAATTGAGCGTTGGGAAGCGACGCATCTCCGACGCTCAAGTGTGCAAATTCTTCGCAAGATTCAATGACTGAATAATGTGTTGAGTTGATGCGAAAGTTCGTTACGTTTTTTAATCAATTCTTCCCTCAGTCTCGGGATTCTTACGAGCGCGGGACCTCTGGTAGAAATTGAACTTCGCAAGTGTCCAGCCACGAGATCATCAATTTGGATCTAATATCGCTATTAGATAGTAACGTAACGTTCATTTCTCCTAGTGATTAGACAACGACTATAAATAAGTTGGCCGATGATCGGACAAATGGAATTACAATAAAAATTTTTATGTCATAATTTTCAAATGCTATTAACGAATGTACAGTAGCTAGATTATATATTTTAAAATAGACAGCGCGCCATTTACACTCGCCATATTTGAAACGTAATGGCTAGATCACAAAGCCAATTCCACCATTTTAGCGGGTAATCAGCCAGCAACCAACTAATAACGAGCTGGAAAATTTATTGCGATAAAATTTATACGCGAGATTTCCGATGTCACTATATAGCTGGAATATTTTGTGTCCGATGGATCCTACCTATTGCGAAGTTTCGTCACACCGTGTCACTCTCTATTAACGAACAAACAAATAAATGCGTGGGAATGTATGAATGTGCGAATAAACTCACGGTCGAAGTCGCCACGGCGTTCTCGTACGCTGCCAATCTCGCCTGAATAATCGTCGCATTGATGTCAGCCCCTGTGAATCCATCGGAGAGCCGCGTCAATTCCTCCAAATCCAATTTCGCACTGTCTACGTTTTGGGAGTTGCACAGCGTCATGAAGATCTCTCTTCTTTCCTCCTGAAACAGGGAGACGAGCAATTCTGTCGAATGTGATTAATAAATAATTGATATAAAGTCCCGACGAGACTTAGAAAGATCGATCATCGAACGTGTAGGATTCACCTCGTTCGGTAAGGGACAATGCAAACACTTGTCGAGACGTCCCGGTCTTAGCAGGGCTGGGTCCAACATGTCGGGCCTTGAGGACGCAGCCACGATAGCCACCCCTTCGCGATCTTCAACTCCGTCGAGCTGCGTCAGCAACTGGTTCACCACCCGATCGGTCACCCCAGTGTTGTCGTGCCCACGTCTGATTGAACGTCGAAATGGATTTATCATTTTATTACTCGCACGAATAAGAATAAGATAAAATTGAAACTTGGCGCGATGGGCACTAAAGAGCACGTACAACGCAAGAATCGAAAACCAACTGCAATGTACGCAAATGACTTATGTCGATATTAAGGTGAAATATCAAGTAACAGATAAAAATAAATAAGTTTTGACATCGAGTATGCCACTTACCTGGGCGCAAGACTGTCGAACTCGTCGAAGAACAGAACGCACGGCTTAGCGCGACGGGCTCTAAATATATACGATGAAAGAGTGTAATATTTAAGAATGCTCGGATGAAAATATTAAGTTACGTAATTGAAACGTACAATGAGAACCGGCAAGTCAGAAATTCGGTTCGTCGTACCTTTCGAACACATTTCTCACGGATTCCTCGCTAACACCAATGTACTTCGACAGCAATTCTGGGCCCTGAAAGAAAATTCATTCCTAGGAAAAGCTCGCAGAGAAAATTCTTTAGGGACATACATGAAGATCCGATGCACATATTTTTGTTTTATTATCATCCAATGATAATGAAATTCATTATTTTCACTGACGTCATTGACGAAATTATTGAATATTCATCGATATGTATTATTAAATATTCATTATTATTAAATTAAATTCATCATAACGTTATTGGCGAAAGAGGAAGTTACCTTAATGCTGATCAGATTCACGCCGCATTCACTGGCTATCGCTTTCGCCAGCATCGTCTTGCCAGTGCCGGGCATCCCGTACAACAGGACGCCGCTCTGGAGCTTTATCGGGGCGTTCTTGAAGATCTCCGGATACTTGAGCGGCCAGTGCAGAATTTCCGTGAGGGAATTCTTCACGTCCGACAGTCCGCCGATGTCGGACCAAGAGTGACCGCCTTTCTTGTGCAGCTGCACGTCCTGCATGGAGATCGGCGTGAAATTCTCCAGCGCGACACTCATGTCCTCCTCCGTCACGATCACTCGCGATTCGGATTTCGCCGCCGCTTGAGGCAGACAGGGACGCTTTGTTGACTGATTGATCGTATCACTTATTGTATAATTGAGTAATTAGTTAAGCAATTGATCGTGTCACCAATTAAATAACGAATTGTAATATTAACATTAAAAATTTCATCAATGTTTATTTTTCTTTTCTCGTATGTACTTTTCTCGTATGTGTCACTTGTACTAATTTCTTTTGTTTCAATTAATTTTCTTTTTTTATATTCGAAACGTCTGTGGTATTCGTCGATATTTTTTTTAGAAATTAACACCCGCCAGTCTCGTTACCGTGACGCTTCCATGCGGCAAATATCGCCTTCTCCGACAGGTCGACGAGATCCTGAGGCATCCAGCCCTCAGTCTTGTTCCCATAGTGATCCCAGCCCATGTCCTCGGGCAATTTGTCCTTGAGTCTTGTTCGCAAAATATCGATTCTGTGCTCCTGATTAATCACGACGCGAATTAGCGATGCGTATGTTTCGTCGAACGAGCGTCATAATTTACGCGACAAATCTGCAAATTCGATCAGAAACGCACGGGAAATGTGCGGGAGCAATCGAATTTTACGATATTTCAACGATTTGTTTCGTCTAATAGCATGAAAAATATTAGAACGTCCTTCTGAAGTACCAAAGCGGACTTTCCCTACTAATTAGCGTGGACCGTGAATAACGATTTCGCCAATTAATATCGCGCGTGCTCCGCCTTCCCGAAATAATTTCTACTTAATACCTTGTTGAGATTGGGAATCGACAGGACAGTCCTAAAGAATTGCGTCCCCCTTGCCGGTCGTAATTTCAAACCGATCTTGTTTACGCTCATGCAAGTGGCGACGATCGAGATGTAATGGGACTTCTGGTATTGCGTGACAGTGTTGATCAGCATATCGGTGATTCTAAAATTGATACGAAGTCTCGTTTGATTACGGGGAATCCCGTGGAATGAAATGATCCTTGGTCGGGTCGGCAATTTTTTTTTTCTTGTGGGAAATATAATGCCTTTTTGCAGGTAACATCGACATAAACTAAAATGTGACTATTGTATTCTCTCCAAATATTTTGCGCATTTTGCTCTCGAGTCAACAATTATTACACAGTTAAATTAGCAGATTGATGAATATGTATCTAATCACCTGGAGGCGTTCGTCGCGTCTACCGTATTTTCCTCGTCGTTTAACGAGGCATTAGTGATGCACTCCAAATCATCCATAAACAATATAGACGGCTGATGATACACGCATTCGTTCATGGCCGACGCAAAGATCTTCTGCACTGTCTCGACTTTCTTGCCTAATTTATAATTAATAATGCGTCTGATGGATATCGCAAAATAACTGTCATAATATAACATTAAACTTTAAGTTGCACTTCTCCTTCAACCATTTACCAGTCTCTCTCCGGATGGTGTGCCGATTCAAATGGTAACGCAAATTTATATTAAATCAAGTGAATATTACTTGAATACAATTTTTATCTCTACATTCAAGTAATATTTACTTAATCCGAGTAAAGATCTACTAAGGAGAAATTGGAGGAATTATTCACTTGATCTAGCACTTTTTTCTGTGTAGAAACACAACACAGCCTCGGTGAGAAAACGGTGATAAAAGTCAAGATATTAATTTAACGCTAATAAGTGAAGATTAAGTGCGAGAGGAACCCATCGCGACGGCGATTACCTTTCAGCGATCTACAATCGATCACGCGCGTGTGCACGAAGCACGGCTCCTTGCGGCAACGATCGATCAGTATTTTGCAGACGGTCGTTTTGCCAGAGCCCAGGTCGCCGCAGATCAGGATATTTTCCCGATCGTAGAGGAAGTTCACCTTCGTGTCCGGTTTAATTCGCAAGCCCAGGCCGAGATCGAGCGCCTTTTCGCAACTGTCGAGAACGCTCTCCACACATCTGCAATTCGTTCGTGAAATATTCCGTGAAATTTCGCGCGACAGATTATAATCTCACGCGAAATCACCCAATTTGTGAATGAAGCTTCGACTTTTTTTTTTCTTTTACGGTATGACAGCGCATGAGGATTCGCAAGAGTAAATGTCTCATCTCTAAGCTTAGGGTGACTTTCAGCAAGTTTTAATTGATCTAATCGGCGATCTAAAATTACCGTCGGTCAAATATTATCCGCTCTATCTTGCGGACGAAGATAGGCATTATTAACTTCTCGATTATTATTGAACAAGTTTCAAAACTGGAAATTGGTGTCGGTAATTAGTATTATTATTTATCGACCAGTTTGATCCGAATTTGAAGAAAGTCACTCTTACACAATAAAAAATATTGCGTTAAATTTGACACATTTCACATACTTTAACACTTGCATATGTTGAATATCGATTCGACGGAAAATGTTGAGATAATATAAACACAATATGTCAAATTAACATACGGGTATGTGAAAAACTTGACAAAAATTTTAACAAGGACCAATTTTAACAAGCACAAAATGCCTTTTACCGGATTCCGACTCCATACGAGTGAATCTTTTAATCGATCAGAGCAAATTTGGCTTTACGACGATGAAACACATCGATTCGAGCGATTCATTGTTCAATTTCGAGCGAAGACATTCACTCGACAATTTGAAATGGAGAATTCGCTCTGTACGAGCGGCGAATCGCTCGAGATTCAGCGACCCGGCTTTTCGAGATTTCACTGCAACAAATATGAGAACAACAGAAACAGTGAAATTTCTCGATTCACCTCGTGGAAGTATTCCCCAGTTTCAAATCTTCCGAGCAGTGGGCCTCCAAGATCTCCGCGTTGGCGGAGTACAAGGCGGGCTGAACGCGTACATGCAGGCTCTCGATATCCTTGTCGTCCAGGAACGCGTAATCGCAATCCTCGGGCGACATCTGCACGACGTAGCGTCTGCCTTGGTCGAGCAAAATCGAGCGGGAATTGAGCAGCAACGGCTGGTCCCTCGAGTAGAGTTTCACGTAGCTTCGGAAATCCTGCACCGTCGTGCCCTCCGCGGCAAAGACGTCCAACGACGTCGGCTTCGGTCGTCTGCTCTCCTCGATTAGCTGCACGACCATCCTGCTTCCCGCTCCTATTTGCAGGCTGATCCTCAGACTGTCCGACGCGTAAGCACGCGAGTGAATCGAGTCCAAGTCGAAATAACCCGTGTCGGGAACATCGCCCCTTTCTAAGACGTCCTCGAGAACGTAAATCCGCGCGGTGAGCTCGTCGGAAACTTTGGAAAGAACGGACGAATCGCCGTCCCGCAAAAAATTCGTGCCGCTGTCGTTGACCCGCTGCCGTTCCTCCGGTACTTTCTTGACCTTACCTACAAGTAAGGCCATTCTTTGAACCCTCTGAGCCTTTTCGAATTCTATGAAGGTAATTGTGCTCATTGCTTCGTCCATTGATTCACTTGTGAGACAATTAGCTTTCCGCGCGGTGAGCGACGATTATCCGATACGGAGGTAAATCGAAACGTTAACTTCGAGTTCAATATTCTGTATCGTAACAATGTTATCTGCATTATTAAAGAAGTATACAAATTTCGACAAATCTTAGACCTACGTTAGAAACACCCAATGATTTATTCGCGCCCCAAGTATCTAGCCAGGTAAACAGTTAAATGTTTCCCAAATGGAAGAAGTCTCCCACCGAGAAACCAAAATTGCCCTTTTCCTCTTCGGTGCGATTTTTGAGGAAAAGAAGAAAAAAAAATCGAAATTTACACATTATTCTCCCGGTCGCCGACCTCGCGCTCTTCGGCAAACAGCGTCTCGGTATCAGAATGTGGCTGGGTGCTCTCAGTATCAAACCGGTGGGATTTATGGTGCTCGTGAACGGCAGAGGATACACGCGAAACACACGAGGCAGGCTTCTCTTGCGAAAGTCCTGCAGCAACGCGCAGTTCGACGCGTTATCGTCCGCATTGTGCTCCTTGGAAAAATAAGGTAAGATCCTGGCCAGAGCATTGCGCATTACGCCGGGCTGCTCGATAACGTCCGCGTTTTTCCTCGTTGCATCCGCATCGAGCACGTGCACCTCTGTGAACTGTTGCAGAAGCCCGTACGAAAATCTCGGTTCTAAATCCTCTATAAGAATCACACACAAAATATTTTTTTTAAATAACACCAAGGAAAGACTCGTCATCGAAGATCTTCTGTTTATCTATATTTTTTAGAATGTAATATTAAATGATAAATTGAAGGGGTGTATTTAATTATGAATCGGCAGCTATTTTTTTTTTTAATATTCTCCCTCCCGTCAAATTTATTTGACACAGTCGTTGCTCCAGATCCTTCGTTATAAAGAATTTTTGGAGAAACCGCACAGTTTTTCCCGATTATTTCTAGATTATTCGGATCACCCTGAATCGTCCATTTCCCATTTGTTCTCGGAAATTTCATCCTCTGCTTTCAGCACTTCGATTCCAGCCAAAACGCAGGAATTAAATATTTCCGATAAATTAAACTACAATTATTTCGATATACATATATAACAATCCACTCATATTCGAATAACTTAATTTATCAGAATCCAATTTCCACTCGAACTTTTGGGATTCGCTCGACTTTTAATTTTCATTTATCGACGCCTCCTCGGTAACGAAAGTATCAAAATCGGATCTGATATTTGCAATCGGGAATAACACGATTCTTTGAAGGTTCTGTTGCTTTTAATTTAACGCAACGCAAAGGAAACAACTTGCCTACGACAAAAGTTACGGAGGAGAATTTTGAGACCCAGGCCACGATCGGCTGCCGTTTCGCGACGACTCTCACTTGACTCAAGAGACTCGACTGCACCTTTTCCATTTGCAATTCCTACAGTCGAGTACAAAAATTCGATTAAGCGATACGACGATTAATTGACCAACGCGCAATAGAGAATTTCGTACCAGAAGCTCACGATCGTTCATCGTGAGGGGAACGACATTAATACTGCTCAACGAGGAGACTTGTTTTACAGTGGACACAAACACCTCGTCCCCTTCTTGTATGTTCAGGCTTCTCGCAAAAATCGCTCCGATGCCTAACGTGCCGTTCGAAATAACGTTGGACGTAAGAAAAGAGAAGTAATACACACTCGTGTCGCGCGTTACTTCGATCACATTTTCCTGCAATTAAAAATCGTCGTATTATCGGTCGAGATTTCGACAGTCGCTAGCGATAATAATGAATCATATTTCGTGATCAATTTTCTCAGAAATTTTCGATTTTACCACTCTCACCATGCCATCCTTCACCCTACCTAACTCTAAGATTTTAATACGAAACAATTGCGTCTCTTAATCACGGAAATAAGCTAACGATCTCTCCAGCGCCATCTAGCGGCTTTGTAAAGAACCCGTTAGAGAGACGAGGTTTGAGTCTTGGCTAAATGACCCGCAACATTGTGACCCGTTATTTGCGTTAGTTCCATCATTTTTCATTCGCAAATTTTACTATTTAACGGTCGACTAATACACTTTAATAATAAGCGGAATGAAAATGAACGCCTTAGTGTACGCATTTCTCGCACTAGAATAGTGAATTCGGCAAAAACGAATAATATACGACGAAAAACAATCGAATATCGACTCGTAACGTCGATTATTGCCCGTCCCTGCAGATGGCGTTTCGCGACTGACACGCGACGACGACGCGACGTGTGATATTTGCGATAAAGGATCGTGGAATCGTGTAAGAGACAACACTGACCTCAGTTGCCATACGGCGCGTCCAGTGATTCGAGAGACCGGTGAAACAGTTGTTCGCCTTGATATACTGCACAATCAAACGTTCGTGTTCCATCTCGTTGCGAGCGGCCGTGAACTGACGAAACACAACGAGGCTCGTGCGACCACGCTCTTTTCCTAGGGGAAACTGTTGAACTTTGCTACTAGGTAGTTGCATGCAATTGCCATTGCACATATGCGTACATGTAACAATGTTAAAACGAAGGATGATGTCTAATATATAATACATTTCTTAAACGAAGTTATTACAATACACATTTTTCTAAGATACAATATAATTCACAATAAATAGTGGACAATTGTTATGTTTTTATTTATTATGTTAATCACAAGGTTCGATTATAAATACCGCCTTAATAGCGACCTCGACTGGATGCACCCGTGCACATTATTACCGATATTTATAGTCGGATCTTATATTTAAGACAGTCTTAAGTTCACCTTCAGATGCATCGTAGCCAATGAAATGAGCCGTGGAGTATCTGAAGGTAAAGATAGATGGCTCAAACAAGATCTGATTTACCGTCTTTTGAAGTAGTTCGAATTCAGCGCCCGTACAACCCGCAACATGGCTGATCGTCACGTGATCGATGGCCGCTGACATCGAAAGGAAGGCGACAGCTAGCGTCGCAACCGTATGCAGTTAAACTTTATCCATAGTGCGATACTGGGAACGTTGCTCATGCGAACAGCGCGTGATACGCGCGTCCTTTCCGCCGACATCTCGCAACGACCAATCGGCGCGCGCTAACTCCATAACTGTGAGTTTGAATGACATCAACTGGCGCTTGGCTACAGTTTGTGCGCAAACGAGGGATGTAGTCCGCTGCGTACCAAGCGTGTGACTGAATGCCGGGTAATGCGGAGCACACGAGACTGGATGTTTTCCTAAGTAAATTACCGCAGCCTCCTCCACGAAGAAACGCTCGCAGGTAAGAATTTGTATAATTCAAGTCATGTTCACAGAGTACGCGAGAGTCCAACGTATACGTTGATCCTTCCCATCCATCATCGTAATGGCCGTTGCTGTTTGACGGTTTTCCTCACATCGCCCTGTACCAGCGTGAACCGGTGCGAGTGAGATCGTTCGCTAAATTAATACGATTGCAGCACGTCTCGAGAGGATTCCGGAGAGAAAGAAGCAGCCTGTCGAGCGGACTGGAAACAGTTGGCCGCACTGGACCGAGGAACCTCGCCGAGGAACTCCCGCGTTTTTTCTCGCGCGACGTCAAAAATGCAAGTTTCTTACGCTTCCGAGTGCACCCGGTGATAAGAATTTGACGCAGGGATTGGCACGGATCTCCGCACACATTGACAGAGATTCAACCTCCGATTCTTCTTTATTCGGACGACGAGCCTGGCGATTTTTCCAAGGTAAAGGGCGATTTTTTCAGAATATGTAAAGATGTAACGATGTTTACATCTGTTAATTAATTAACTCTACGATATTAATATTGATTAAATTGTTATTAGACTTCCATTTGTTATATCTTTGTGCTTTTTCAATTAAGAAATGAGTCTAATGATTGGTTTCTTGAGAATGAACGAGAATCTGTCAACTTTGTCGAAATGTGTAGTTGTAGATTCTTGTTTAAATCTGACTTTGTTGCACTCAATCGGAGCGAGTCCTTTGTCGAGCCAAGTCACTGTCATTGTTCATGATCTTCCGCAAACTTCCCCGACGATATTCGCGCGTCTCTATCGTAAAACATGGCTGATTGATGTTCGAAAAAGATAGAAAACTAAACCAAATATTTTGAACACCGGTATACCGTTGTGTCATAAATAAATTACCCGATTTTGAAAAACATTAAAATCGGTAGAAATAAAATTATCGGGCGAGTCGCTGTTTTGTTGTAATTGAAAATAATACTTATTAATAATAATAAATAGAAAACCTGAACACAAGGGACAACCTGAGTTATACCGTATCAAAGTTGCTTTGTACACAACAATGGCGCCTCCGAGAGTGATGCTCAAGCAGAACAGAGGGCAGAATACCGCTGTTGTAAGAAAAGGAGTGACAACAAGAAGTCAAAATCAAAATTCCTTATTGAACAATGTGTTAAACAAACAGAACATCATAGGTCGAGAAACTCGCGCTAAGCGAAAAGCAGAAGCTTCGCCAGCTAAAGACAAAATGACAAAGAGAACTGCTTTCGCCAATATTACTAATGTGAGTATATGTGATACTCACAATTATTATGCCAGACATTACCGTATTCATTATCATACTTGATTATATATCGCTATATTTTATCATTTACTCTTGATTCTGTACAGTTTATTATATTTTATCATCTTGGTTTTAAAGGCTATCGGAAAGACACTGGGAGAACAGAATCGTTTACAAAACAAAGTAGCACCTCAAACGATCAAAACGAACATAGAAAATAATGCGGAAAAGCGTGTAGCAAAAGCTACTATCATATTGAAAGCGATACAACCACCACCACCACCACTTGCTGTCAGGCCCATTAATAAAAAAGGAGATGTGATTAACGATGAAAATAATCCGAACGTCCCACCGAAAATTGTAAATATCAGATCAAGTTTAGATTTGGAGAAATCAGGTGAGAATTCGTTGTACGTCAGCGCGTTAGAGGATGTGACGGAAAACGTGAAAAATGGCCTCATGTTTACCAAGGTGAGTGAAATACTATTTTTAGTATGTTACAGTGTACTTCATTCGAGGAAAAAGAATAAACGTAATTGGCACTTCCTGCCAATTTGATATTAATTTATCCGGAAAGTAACCCAAAAAAATGCAACGGTTGGAATCCGCCGAAATACTTCGAATGTTTTATATCAAAGCTCGTGAAGTTTCAAAAAATATTCACTGTGTTATTTATAAGAATCTGAAGATTGAGCAGTGCGACACTCTCATTAATGCATCTGACCGCTAAATTACCTTTGCGCAAAATTTCGGTTTCGTGTTAGTAAACAATAAGTTTTCTGTTGTACCTGTTATCTGTAAAACCGGTTTGAACAAATTTACAGTTTCACGAGTGCGAGAAAGAAGTAAAAGTAGAAGCAGCAGAAGTGGTAGCCCCGATTGAAAGGCACGAAGACAACAACGAGGAGAAGGTGTTACCAGCCGTCACTCTGACGGACGACATTCCCGAGAACTTGCTGCCCGACGGTGTTCTGTGGGACTTCGACGCCGAAAACTGGCTAGATCCTTTGCAAGTGTCGAATTACGCGAGTGACATCTTCCAATATCTGAGGGAACGGGAAAACAAGTTTCGCATTGTCGAATATATGGAGAGGCAAGTGTGTCTCTCAGGATGGATGCGTGCTATGTTGGTCGACTGGATGGTCGAGGTGCAAGAGTCGTTCGAGCTCAATCACGAGACCTTGTATTTGGCTGTAAAACTGGTCGACCTGTATTTGTCGCAAATGACAGTCGGCAAGGAGACCCTGCAGTTGTTGGGTGCCGCGAGTTTGTTCATAGCGAGCAAATACGACGTAAGTTCCGGCGAATTTCATCTCTACCGGAACTTCCTCGAAGTCATCTGACAAAATCGTCTTCTAAATCCCGTACAATATGAGTCGAATAAGAACTTGTTCTCGACTTCGGTTGCAGGAAAGAATACCACCGATGATAGAGGATTTCTTGTATATATGTGACGGCGCGTATTCGCAGAGGATGATCATCAAGATGGAGATGAATATCCTGAAAGTAGTGAATTTTGACTTGGGAATACCTCTCTCTTACAGGTTCCTGCGACGTTATGCTAGGGTGAGTGACGGTTCCCTTCATTTGTCACATCCCTTTGCCTTCGAATATGCTTTATACGATCTTTTCACCTACAACATGATTTATTTTAAGTGGCGCGAAAGGCACTTTCCGCGCTGCCGAAAGCCGTGGTAACGCTTAAATTTCAGAAAAACAACGTCTGAAGCGTCAAAAAACATTTTTTGTTAGAAATTACAATTTATAATTACAAGTTACAATTTAGTGCTTAGAGCAAAAAGTTAAAGACAGGGTTAGATAGTAACTTGTTAATTCAATTAAAAGCTACGTTAACACTTTGCCGGCCGCTATCGCGTGACGTTTCTTCGCCAACTGTTATCGGCCGCTGTCACGTACACGTGACTTCTTTTCGCCAGTGGTGATGCTTCATTCCGATGTTTGCATAAGTACACATATTGATGCAGAGCAACAATGATGAATAAGTCACGTGTACGTGACAGCGGCCGGCAAAGTGTTGAAAGGTTAAAAACTTTTGACTTAGTTAACTATTAGTGGAATTAACTTATTTAAATTTAAACAGGATAACTTTTAAACTTAGTTACATTTTATATGCTTATTTTTTTTAATTAAGCTAAAGTATTTTTTCATGTATATTGGTTTTATATAATTAAACGTTTCACTTGATTTTTAACTTTAACGGACCCAATTTCATTCTAACTTAGCTCTTAATTAGATCAGTATATTATTCATGTAACTTTCAACATAAAATTGGTTAATTTATAGCGATCAATTGTTAATTTAACTTAAAAAAAAAGGTATTAACTTACCCAACCCTGGTTAAAGATTTATTTGAAATGTTTTTCTCTTTGGAAAATGTTTGGTTCAAGAACAAAATAAATGTGTCACTTAAAATTAATCACTCTGGTGCATTTTAATTTAATGAAAGTTTGTGCAGTGCATTAGCCGTTATTATTTTTCCGAAAACAGTGTGCTAAAGTGTCAATGCCCACGTTAACTTTGGCCCGATACATATTGGAGTACTCACTGATGGATTACACGACGATAACGTTCAGCGATAGCAAAATGGCCGCGGCTGCGCTCTTGTTAGCGTTGCAGATGAAAGATCTGGGCGGATGGACCGCGACGTTACAGTACTACAGTGGTTACACGTTGGAAGACATCAGGAGTATCTGCATCACTTTGAATGAAGGCATGCACAAGAAGCATAAGGAAGCTTTAATGACCGTGCGCAACAAGTATAGTCATAAGTAAGTATCGATATGCCTTCCTTCTTCCTCCGAGTGTCAATTGGGAATATTGATCTTTCTCGATAACGTTGCCTGCGAGTGACCGTTGTTAAACGCATCTTTCTCGCATTGCAGGATCTTCTTCGAAGTAGCAAAACTTCCCCTAAAAGACAAATTGGATATATAGATGATGCTTAAGATAGTATAATAAATGTATACAGACAGATGGCTCTGATATTTTGATGCCCAATATTCGATTATGAAGTCATACCAATTATTGTTGGTCGATTTTGGTGAGAATTATATCTACAGAATAGTTCTTAGCGCGCTGAGAAAGTAGGAACATTAAATTGTATCGCGCGTAGGACGAAAGTTTGTGTTACGTGACCAATTTCGTGCGAATCTCGAGGAGCCTCAGCAGGAGCCTGCATCCATTTTTTTTTCTACTCACCTCCCTGTATCCTTTTTATTATTATTATTTATATTTAACAGTAACATCTATCTCGTTTTACAATCGCAGTATTTGTAAGCTAATTTACTTTTTATTCTTACTTTTTTCTTTTTGTTAAAATTTATTTTAGCGCCATGCTTTTACACTCCGCGAAGTAAGTCCCGAGTCCCAAACTTGATTCCGGGTTTCTTTTCACATGACACAACTGCGATCTGTCTATCACGACTGACAGTATTTCTGGAGTTAATGGGGGGAAAAAAAAAAAGAAAGAAAATTCTATTTATCGCCGATTAAATTGATAGTACAAACGCGATTACGCACAGACGAATGATGAAGCAGTAAACTTGTACTCGAAATTCCGAAAATAGAGAGTGTGGCGCATTGTTACGTGTATCATTGTTGTACCTTATATCTAGACTGATAATCAAAACTCGTGTTACCGGTGTGGAAATTTGCACAACATGTAGCAGTTGCACGCGCGTATGATGAATTCAGATTTTTGCGAGGTACGATACTGACTGTGTGATTCAACCGAAGGACACTGTGCCTTGTAACATGAAAGATAGATACATTCAGTAAGGTAACATTAGCTATATATATAATGACAGATTGGCCGGAGGCGATCTAAGCTATGTTTTTACATTTGGCGAAATATATATATATATATACATATAAGATATCCCTTTCCGCGTTGAAGATGAAATTATGGTTGCCCCCGGTTTGTGTGACTGTTCGAAGCGACAGATATCGATATTCACGCTTCTACAGTAACAGTGTTTTACACAAAAGGTGTAACTGTAAACGTGGACACTTCGTAAACTGTTTTATCAGAATGATAAATCTAATCGACAGTTTCGAAAAGTAAAGGGAAGAAGATTTTGACAGATGACGTGCTAGAAATTCTGTGTGGTTATAACGAAGAAGAAAAGGTTTAATATAGTATAAATAAATCCTCCGTTTCGAGACAGAACTTATATAATTGTGTGGCTCAACAGTCTTTCCCGAATGAAAAGGAAAACATTCGAAGAATTATCAATAGAAAGCGAAAAAAAAGACGAACCTGTGATATCGACATTCGCCTATTGTGTATAATGTAACAAAATTGGAATGACAAGTGTGTGTGTATGTGCGCGTGTGTGTGTATGTGTGTATGTGTGCCAAGTTTCATTATCTGCAGGGTGGTCACGAAGTTCCATTACTCCTAATGTGTAATTGAAAGGCTCAGTATAAGGATGGAGCGATTTTACGCGTCAGATTCACCTCTGATATGATTTTGCATTTTAAATGTCGATCATTATAAAATTACTATAAAATTATGGATTGGCCTCTTATTCTTGCTGAATCCATCAATTAGCATGTTGGAGCCCCTGCGGTATATAATTCACTTATAGCTATTCAAAAAACGGGAGAAAAAGTATTAAAAAAAAAATTAAAAAAATTGTAAGAAACACATAAAAATAAGAATCTCACGCATAACAGATTAATATATAGCCGTCATAATTTTCGTAATAATGGAAAATAATATTACCACCGAGCTCTGCGACGTTGGGGCATTTGTATTATTTATTGATCATGAATAAACGCAACAACGAAGAATATAAGGGATATATTTGTGAAAATAGTTAATTGTAAATGAGGGGGAGTAAAGGAATTTTAAGGCCGCCCGTACAAATCACTGCGACACTCGTGTACAGTATTTATATGAAAGTCCCTTCAGTAAGAATATCGTGACCATAGTAAGGATGTTCGGACGAACCTTAGATTTCTAGTTACCTCTCAAAGACAGATATAGGCGAAGTACTATACATACGCACGATCGGCTCACACCTGTACGTATTACGTAAGTAGAGTATAAAATATTACTTCTGGCGCACTCGGGATTGGGAGATAAAAAAAGAAACATGTCAAAACACCTCAAGAAACGAGGTTTTATACTCTAAAAACGTCCAAGAACACTATCTGCCACCATGAAAATTATCATCGAGATTTCGAGCGACATTGAAAGATTTAAAAAAAAAAGGCAGAATAAAACTAACAAAAACCAGGTTCAAAACTTTTAAAAATAACAAAAAAAAGACGATGAAACGTTAAAAAATGGGCCCACATTTTCTAGCGCACCCATGATCGGGATCGGGGGATTAAAAGAAAGAAACACGAGAATCAAATAAGAAACACCTTAGAAATCAAATCAAAGTCCTCACAGCGGAAGGTGGGCTATGGTAAAGGCGCGCAGCCTCTCGCGCCGCGAACACTCGGGCTTGTTGCTGCCGCCGCCGCGTTTGCAGTCCACGTGGAAGACAGGCGCCGCACTTTTCACATCGTTGAGCGTAGCAGGCTGATGCATCTACATTCTTTCTGAATTTGTGTAGTTAAGTTCATTAACTTTTTATATTATTATCAAGGTTATAACCTTTTTTATTTTCAAATTTTCTACAGGGTGGCCATAGAGTTTCGTTACATGGGAATGCACGTAGTGCGTTTTCTATTTCGAGGTCTTCGTCGTCATGTGTGCAGCATTGTTTCTTGATTATGAGAAGCTATATAAGTCTTCTAGCGTATCAGGATCTGGTGACACACTAGATAATGACTCAGATCGCTCTGTAAACTCAGCTTCTTCTGGTAAGAAGGTTAGCTAAACGCCTTAAGATGGGGGATCGCATAAAAAATGCAAAAGCTGGCTCGTCGCTGGCACAGCACATGGGAATTATCTGAATTGATAACACTTTGACAGAAGAGGAGAAAGGGTGCGCCAGAAAAAGTATAGTAAATATTTTTACCTCTAAATAGTGATTGGGAGACAATTGTTTTCTTAGGTTTCCTGCGATTTTTTAGATGGTTTCGCTTGATTTCGATGATTTTGATATGTTTTTTTTTTAACTCCCGATCCCGGATGCGCTAGAAGTAACATTTTATACTCTACTTACGTACGCCGTCAAATTAGGACAAATTTCCACGGTGAATTTCTGTAACGAAGAACGCGAGCGCGGTCTTGAATAAGACATCTAAAGTTAAGTTTTCTCCCTTTGTAGTATACATATAATCGATAACATAATCGATAATATATTTTTCTACTGTCAGTGTATCATGGTGCGTTTTTACCTCGAGATAAATAGAAATCATCTCTCCGACAAAATGTCATCTCGGCCAGATGCTTCTCATGACATTAGGACGTCGTGAAGACGTTTTTTTTTTTTTTTAGATATACGTGTTGCTTGGGTCCCGATGGGGTTAGTATCGAACAACAAAGAATTGACTGCACAGTCGGTGTGAAATAAAAGACAATCATACTCGTGATAACAAACGTTCTTGCAAGGGGTTTAAAGTAATCCAGCAGTTTGAACAAAACAGAGTGAAATTCTCTCTTTACTTCCTCCTCGAATACTCGTGCCTTCCATCACGAAAATGATGGCGACTCTATATTAATCTACTATTGTCCTACACGTATTTCAACAATCTTCACAAATAAATAATAACTTAACATGTTGCATATCGCGCTAATTTAAAGAAAAGAAAAAAAAACGTTACCTGTTCAAAAGATCAACCAAAGATTGCATAACTGATGGTACGTGAGGAAATATATACAACAGTTTCTTCGGTTTGTTCAATTGACTCTATATTGGCCGTATATATTTGACTTCTTACACATAGCTAGCTATTAAATGAATGAAATCGATGCCGTAGTGCCGATCTTTGATGACTAATTGGCGTCACTCGACACGCGCTAAGTGCCGATAAAAACCAGGTACATGCAATATATTAACAGAATTGTTATATTAAATTTTTATATAATACAACGACGGTGAGAGAGACTTTTACGCTATTTGTACTCGTCAATGGTATTCGAACGTTGAAAAATTACTCTACCACTAATGCGACCATCTTATTATTGCCATTTGCAAATTACAGAGAAATAATACTTTTCGCTCAGTATGTACACACTCTCGTTACGCTCAAATAAATATCTTCATATAAATATATTTTTTAAATATCTCTTTAGTCTATATCAAAAAGGGGTAACTGCTATGCACACGCGGATTTGGTTAACAGGCTACTTGGTGAATTCATCTTACGGGTTTATTTTACATCATACGCTTTACGTGATTAAATTACTTTCTCTGTAACAGTGTTACAGTGAGATGCAATATATTGTACCTTTCTCTATTGCTCGCGTAAAATGAGCTTCATTCGTCTCGATAAATTATCCGGCTTATCTCCTAAAACGCATGTTTTCACAGACCGGTTCTCCCCGAGGACAGGAAAATCCGTGCAACCTCGTCGCATGTGACGTCTGAGATTTGCCGGGAAAAAATCCAACATACGCGTATCACAATGCTCACAACGCGCGTATACGTGCGCCTTTACCGTCGGTGGGACTCGCGTTATTTCGAGTTGCAGTCTTGTGAGGTAAATCCCGGCCTTCGAAATCATCGGCCACGATGATCAGTACGCGTATTCTACCCTGTACGGCGTGACGAGGAACGCCTTCGTCGTTCGTCAGGGCTTCTCCTCCCTGGCGACTCGCCTGGCGCGCAGCCTCTCGCACCGTGGACACTCGGGCTTGCCGCCGCCGCGTTTGCAATCCACGTGGAAGCAGGCGCCGCACTTTGCACATCGGACCACCCGCGACAGGTCCCACGGGAATATGACTTCCTTGGAGCAGCACAGCTCGCACACGAATCCTCTGGCTTGGCACAACTGAGACAGAAACCCAACGAGGATCTTAGGATAGCAACAATTCGGACTCTATTCAGTTCTATTCTCTCTCATTTATTCAATGGAGGAAAAGACAGTATTATGGCCTTCGCATTTACATTTCGTGCAAGTGTACGATGACTAATTATTTATCGGCATTATAGCGATTACTTGTGGAATCATTTATTCAGTAGTTCACGGTGAGCTACTGAGTGATTCCACTAAATAATCGCTAGAATTCGCCACCTAATAGGGGAGATAAATATCGAGAGAGGCCATGATATCACCTTTTTTTAACAGCAACCACTGAAAAATGTGGTACTAAACGCGACAGAATTTCCCAGACGAACAGAACGAATGATTCATCGTCTAACGTGGATACCTCGCAGCCCGCGATGTGCGCCCAGCAAACTTCGACGAGTTCTTGCAACCTGACGAACAATACTCCGAATTTCACGTGTATCAGATCTTGAATCGAGTACACGTGAGGATCGTTGATGATATAATTCGGCTCCTTCTTCAGCACGTCCTGAAGGCTGAAACGAGAACGATCGGGATCGGGATCTGCCGCGCTACCAGCTGACATCGACGAATGGCTTTCAAGCACCGATCTAACGGAGCTTCGACTTGATATTTACCTGATCGAGAATCGACAGGTGAATAAGAAGTCCTTCAGGAAGAACAACTGCGTACGCACAACCCTCGTTTTCTCCAACTGTTTGACGCGTCTGTACAGCAGCGGGTTCAGGTCGTTCACGTGGAACAACGGATCCGACATCATCTGATCCAGTAATCTGTACGAGAAGTTCGACACGGGGTACCTGTGCGGGGAAACGGTTTGGATCGGAGACACGTATCCCGGAATAACAATATTCGATAATCGACGCCGACGAAACTCAACCGAGCAAACACGAGGGAGCTTACCTATTGAAGTCCCATTTCGACAGGATTCTCCCCGGTACAAACGCCACCTGATTCGTGTGGCAGCCCGTACAGAAGTACCGGCCCAGGTACTCGCAATACCGGAAGCGATTGGCATATTTTACCGCCACCTTCATACCGCAACCCGCGCATCTGTAATTCTGTTTCGCTATCAGCATTCGTCTCCTGGAGGGAAAATAAAGCGTTGAAAAAAAAAAAGAAAAGAAAAACATGTTCGCAACCTTTTCCCATCTTTCTCCGTCTTCGCACTTACACCGGTGGCGCGTGAGGTGTGAAAATAATCTGCGGTCGCGGCGGCGCCCACTCGGCGGTGCCCCTCAGCGAAACCGTCGTCGCATCTTCGATCTCGGTCTCGTCGGGGCTGACCGGCCAGCTCTTCGGCATCGGCAGCAGGCGCTGAGGAGCGTCCTTCTCCGACACCAGCCACTGAAGCTCGCTGGCCCGGGGCAGCTGTTTCTCGCTGAAACGACTTATGAGAGAAAGCGCCACTCCCTCGGCGGACACGCTGCTCTCGTTCAAGGTCGAGTCCGCGGAGTGCCTCGCCGCGCGCGACTCCGCGTCGGAGAAGAGATCGACGCTCGAGGCGGGCGTGCCGCTGTTCCTCGGCGTGCCCCGCTCGTCCGAGGAGTCCGTCGACACGCAGTCCGACGAGCTCCCCGGGGACGTGGACAACGGGCTGACGCTTTGATCGGTGGTCGTGGTCGTGTCCGTCCTGCCGTCGCTCAGCAGGTCGCGGCTCCACCCTCTGCCCCGGCACTTCTCCTCCTGCCGTTGCCAACGTCTTAACCGTATCCGCTGCTTCAGCCGGTTGATCTCCTCGTCGCTCTCGTCGTCCACCGCGTCGTCCAGCAGCCGACGCTGCCAACGGTTGCACTTCACCTGCTCGATGGCGGCGATCATCGCCTCGCAGATGCTGAAGTGCGCGTTCTCGCGGTCGAGCTCGGCGTCGTGGGCTCGGGAGAACTGGGCGGAGGTCAGGAAGCTGGTGAGACTCTGACCCTCGACCGGCCGCGGGAAGTAGCCGGTCGCCATCGGCTGCACGCTACTGCCACCGTCCTCCATGAAGCTCTTCCGCGGCGTACGGATGTCCTTCTGACCCTCCACCTCCAAGCTCCACGAGCCCGTGAACTCGGGCGCCGAGCCCACCAGGAACGACGTCTTCCTCCGCGCCGTCCACTGCTCCAGGTACCTCATCTCCACCGACTCGGTCGTCGCGACCGGCCGCGTCTCCTCGACGTTCCCAGCTTCCTCGTGCACGCTCGAGGAGGCTTCGGGGCACACGCTGTAAGACGCTCGCTTGCTCTGGCCCGGCCGGCTCTTCGTCCTTCGATTCCTCGTCTTCCGCTCGCGTCTGACGGCCGTCTTCGGCTTCGTCTCGAGCGCATCCGGCTCATCGGGCTGCTTCGATTCCGAGTAGATGATGTCGATGATCTCCGCTAATTCGAAGGCGCGCGGATGGTTACTGTTGTTGTTGTTGTTGTTGACGTTTTCGTGGATGGTCGGCGAGGTCGCGACCGAACACTCCGCGGCGACCTTGCCGTGGCTCTTGACCAAAGCGGGCAGACTGTTCCACGTCTTCAGGGATACGTCGCTGTTGTTGGATACGTCGCTTGGCTCGATGACTTGCGCCGGTTTCGACGTCTCCTCGCTCTCGGTGTTCACCGTGTCGCGCGACACGGCCTGCGCAGAGACGCTCAGCTGATCCAAGTGACACCTGCTGTACACGCTCTTCTCTCGGGCGACACCGTGACTGACGCTGGAGAAATTCACCGGATACGAGGAGGAGCGACGATGCCGCCTGGGACTCGCTCTCGGGGATATCCACGTCGGCACGAACTGCGCATCAAAGCGGAGAAGTTGAGGTGATAACGAACTCTCTTTGATGCTACAATCGTGCGACACGCGCTGTACCCAATCGTCGTGCGGAATAATCGGTTTCGTAAACCGTGGAGCCCGGGATTTTACTCACCAAGCAGGGGTCGATTTCCGCGAGCAGCACCGGTTGATTCCTCTCGACTGCCCTTAGGCACAAGAGCGTCGCCTCCGCTAGATTTTCCTGACAAAGGAACGCCCATGGCTCGAGGCAGGAGAGTAGATGTTCTTTATCAGATAACAGCCACGATAATTTGTGCGATAGGGAATGGCCTTCTAAACTGAAAGAAAATACATTCTGTATCTCCTATCTCTTTCTTAATCGAAGTGCATTGTCCTTTCGATCAAAGATCCTTTTATATTTCTCGAACAAATTGAAATTCTTACGCTATCTTGTTCGCTATGTGAGTAAAGGAGAAGGCGGTATTGCGGCTCTCTATTGACAGTTTGTAAAATAATTTTGTTAATGATCAATATAGTTCAAATTGAAACTCGAGAATTGCATTAACGATTTGTCAAAACGTCGCTCGATCGACTCTAGACTCAAAGTTATGGAATATTTATTATTTAGAATGTTATTTATACAAAAACGTGACTGGTACTGCGTAATGAGTCGAAGGGGAAGAGGGATGGTAATGTGGCTCTCCACTGAAATATATTTGGAAAATTGACTTTGCGCAAATAAGTGTCGTGTCGCGAATTTATATGTTTATCCAAAACAAACCCTCTTAGAAGGAACAGCGATAAATATAGCCGTGAATTTTTAATGCAGATATCAACCTGTTTGTCAGAAGGTAAATGAAAATTGTTAAAGGACAGTTTCCGCAAGACAGATTCTTAAACTCAACTTGAATTACCGACTCGTCAAACAACTATTTCGACGTGAAAACCTCGAAAAAGAGGCGGTATTGAATCTATTTTAGCGGGTGACCGAATTAGCAAAACGCCTCGCCATTGTTGATGTTGATTTTACACAACTCGAGATGCGTACAGCGGAATAAAAGTTAAGCAACGAGTGACACACACACTGTGCGATTGGAAACTAACAGATGTATCTTGAAAACATTTCGAAATGTTGGAAAGTAATGATGCATTATAACAAATGCCGACTGTCGGCATAGTAACGCCGCTGCGTAACGGCAGGCAACTAAACAAATGATTCCATAAGTAATAAGTAAAGAATTAATTCATCACCTAACAGTAGATATCAGCGGCTTTCCATTTAACGACACAAGTCAAGCGACATCATTTTTCAACGAGTAACAAAAATAAGGATAAAACTTGTGCCGACTTGTGCGGTTAAATGGAAAGCTCCCATTAAAGGAAACCACAATACCGCCTTCTCCTCTATGTAACTGCACTTGTCAATATGAAAAGAAGACAATTACCTTTTATACAGCCACAACATGTCCTTCTTGGATGTTATCCTAGCTGGCAGATTGCACAAATAATCCTCGTTCTCCGACAGCACCGGTGATGTCGCTAAGGAAGGTTGGAGCCAGTTCAGCCCTTGAATAAATATCCAACAGTCCGGTTCGCCCTTGCAAAAGTTCACAACATTAAATATCTCAACACCGAGAGAAGTCTTGTCAAGTGCAACAAAACTTAAACAACACAATCTCACGCACTCAGAATCAGATAGTGCTTCCCTATCTATATAAAAAAAAAAAAAAAAGCGATCATCCCGACTCTCGATAATAATTCTGATACAGCGCGAAGATACCAAGAGATAACATTTTTAAGCTTGGCGCAACTAACATTGGGATCGTAAATCCGACAGCCGTGCTTGAATATCTGCTCTATCACATTGTGCAGCCGGTTCAGACCGCCGTAAACATTCCAGACGTTGGACACCCCGTCTATCATCAGGCCTTCCACGGTGGATCGTAGGCTCTGCAGTAGCTGCCACTTCTCCTTATTGCGCGTGTTCTCCGACATCCTGTCAAAGGACGGCCGAGCGTTACAACATCTCATCCACCAGCCACGTGCTCACCTCAAGGCTCACGGCTTACCTGACGAGCAATCAGCGAAGAGATCTTCCCGAGATCTTACACGTGAACGTAAATGCGACACCACCGCGGTTTTTCCCCTCTTTGTTTACCTCCCCGAGGATACGTCGGCTACTGCGGTCGTCGGTGCATCGGCGCGGCGTCTAATTGCGGCAGAGTCGACTGAAACACGAGGATCGATTGAACACGGCCGGGAGTCGCCGGGAAACGCCTATCGCTCCTCCTAGATAAGGCCCAGTGATAGTCGCCGGTGAATTCCTAATTTTTCTCGCTCGCCCGTTGCGTCTTCGTGCTCCGTTCATCGCTCGTTGCCGCTCGTCCGGAGCCGCTTACGCCACTCGCGTAACATACACGCGCATATCGGCGTGCCGTAATCGATGACACGCGATAAGGCAGGACGACGAGCGGTCGTTCCCGAGCAATCGTGAGCGGTCACGCGGTTGGAGGATCGGTGTTTACCCTGGTAATTACGACGCTGGTCGCTTCGTGAATCAGAGGTTCGGCCAAACGAGCGACGAGGGATTTCCCGAATGACGATCATACCACCTCGAGATTGCTCGACAACTTCGTGTCAGTGATTCTCCGTCGATACTGCAGTCCCCTTCGTTTATCGCATGTGAACGACGGGCAGGGTGGGATAGATTTATCTCGCGCATCGCACCTTGTACTTCGTAACGACTTCGTCGTCGGTGTGTTACGTAAAGATGATTGAGGGCATCTTTCGCAGAGCGGTTCGCAAGTGGGAATGAAGCTCCCGGCGAGAGAAGTACAAAACGGGGATGTCGGTGGTCGATAAGTCAATCTCGAGAGCGAATAATGTAAATCGATGTAAATTCGTCAATGTTCCACACCCGGCGAGGGAGGAATGTTCTTATTGAATTATCTATCTCCCGCTTTTATTCGATAAATTGTAAATAAATGGTTGATAAATAATAAATAATAAACTGTAAATGATAAATAAACTCGTCTCGATGATGATAAAACACAGAGTTACGTGTGTCTATTGAGCAATAATTATGTAACAGAACCGCATTTATTTGAACCGACCTCATTTGCGTTTATAATTATTTGCACGGTGGTAAGTTAATGAAGTAGAAAATAAGGTACTCGGAAACGCATTGCACGATAATCCAATTAAATGATGCGTGTTTTGTTTGTTTATTTTTCGAACTGCGAACATAATAAATGATCAAATGACGTCGGTGACTTAACGTCAGGATCAAAGTCCGATGAACCGCGGCCAGTACGGGGTTTCCACACACGCACGCCCTTTTTCACGAGAGAGTTCGAGAGTATCGATACTCGATACTCACTTCGCAGCTCTGCCGGTAAACACTGATTTCTTCGAAGCCTTTTCTGCCGGGTGATAAAATACTTATTAAATTTCCTTATTAAATTTCATATTATAACACGTTTCGATTAAATTTCTTTTCATTTCTCGAGATCCGCGCTTAGGCTCGTAAATATCCCGAAAAGTCTCCCTTTTCGACCGTACATCGAAGGGCGAGTGTCAAACCCTTTAATTACGTTCACTCGAATTCAAACGCTCGCTGCTGCGTGGGAATTTGCAACATTTTCAAATCTTGCCATCTACTTGTGAGAACAAAATTACATCTTTCTTTTTCTCGCGTATCCCAAAGGGTTCTCCTTCCCGTAAACAAGGATGACGACGATGACGATGATTGTTATTATTATCATCATCTTTGAAACATTTCTTCCATCTAGACAGTTGCCTGCTCGTGTTTACCGATCGAGTCGATACGGATGTTCGATCTCTCGAACGCGCTCTCCCCCACCTGGAGCACATGCGCGCGCAATTCTACGGGCGATGTCCTCTCTCGTTCACTCTTCGCAGCGGTACACGCGAAGTGTCGCTCGCCGCGGTGATTCGCAGTTTTCCCTTTCGATACCAGTTAGTGCCCATTCGATCCGGTCGAACGAAACATGGCGAGCTGCAGACTTTTCGGCGCTCTCGCGCGCGGCGTCCGTTCCAACGCGACTTTCGCGACACGTGCAGGTGATTACGTATGACGCGATGCGTTCGGAAGCGTAGGAGGAAGAACGGATCGTGTGTGACGAGAGAGAGAGAGAGAGAGATAGAGCGATCTCATACGGTCGGCTGTCTCCGGCTGAAAAATCCGCACTCGAAATCTACTCGATTTTCGAGGACGCACAAGATCAGCTTCGGTAAACGACGTGTCGAGCCAACTTCAGTTAGCAGCGATGCACGTCGGAAGTTATCGAGGATCGTATCAATTGATAATGGTGTAAAATTGCACCAGCAGTTCAAGGTCAGACAGTGCACCGGATGATATCCCGAAGGAATCATCGGGTAAACCGGACCAGTGTTGAAAGGGAACTTCTCGATACTGAATGTGCACAGTCAGTGTCGATTATGACCGACTAACGGCCAGATGTTATAGGGGCCGGCTTAAATTCGCTCGGCGCGACCTTTGCTCCCACGTTGAAAAAAGAAAGGGAGAGAGAGACAGCCGGCTATAGTGAAGTCGATTAGCGCTAACTTGCAATAGCCATCGCCTTGGCACCGGCCCTCCAAGTTACCGCTAGGAATAAACCGCTGCATTTTATATAGTTCGAGCGTAATAAGATCTGCATTCGGATACGTTTTACGCAGATCAGCGTTCCGAATTTGCTGACGATCGACTCGGCCTGCTCGAATTTCGAGATTCAACTTCAAGTTGTTCGGGAATCTTGGAATTATTTCTCTTCTGTTTTTCTTTTTTTTTTTTTTTTTTTTACAACAATTGGTATGTTAATTCAAATTTTTCTCAGTGTCGAGTTCGAACTGTCCGAACAATTGAGGCGAATTGAATGAACAGATCGTTGTCTCCGTTCGAAATGTCCAAATTTGAAGTTCAAATGAATTTCCGTTTCAAGTGAACCATTCGTTTGAGTATTTCGCTTCTGAATTTCAAACTATATGAAGAATAAGGAATATTTTTATGAATGATTCGTTACATTTTGCGCGCCCTACGTGTAAATACAGGCTAAGAAAAAGAGAACTCGAACTTATCCACTCGATTAGCAACATCGAGAGAATGTTGAAGTGAGAAGTTACAATTGCATCAGATTATCGAATACAACTCGAAAGTGAAGTTAACCTTTCGTTAGTCGCAATATTTTTCACCTTATTTTTATTAACACGTTAACTGCCGCACGCATTTCGGAGGAAATCTCCGTCAGGCCAAATCCATTAAAATTTGTTGATAAGAAATATTTAAGTATATTAATTATACGATCCTGAAATTACTTATTAAACTATGTAATTTTTTTAGTTTTATATCGTACTTTATACGGTCAGTCACCGGTGACTGACGTGGCACTCAACGTGTTAATGTATCTCTCACAGATACACTAATCTTTCCATTATTTTCCTCTGCTTCTCGATGCAATTTTCTTTTCATTAGCACTTGACTAGTAGACCAGATACTAAAATAAATACATATGTAAAAAACAATGAAAAACGAAGAAAATGAAAAAAAAAAAATTCATGTATATTTGTTGGATCTGCAACTAACGGAGAGTTAAATATCGTATAACGTAGATCGTAGCATCCATTATTTATCACAATTTACATTTCATGTCTTCAATATATACATGTGTGTGTACTTAGAATTGTAAATTGTACTATGTTCTAGACATTTGTTCTCTATAGCTGAACTAGCTGCACTAGTTAACACTAATTCTGCTTCCCTCTTTTTTTTTTTACCCATAGCTATATATATGTCGCAGAGAAATGGTGAAAATGGAGATTAGATCAAATCCCTAATCACCCCACCCATAATTTGATCAAATTTCCATTTTTATCATCTCCCTGCGACATATATATGTATTTCTTTTCAAGTTCTGAAAGTGCGTACTGATTCAGCGACAAAGAACAGATCTATTGCGTCGTACACAGTTTCCTCGTGTCTTATATTTTGATTATCTCTCTACAGGTTTATATCATACATCAAGAATGCTAGCAACCGAAGCAAACAGAAAACATTTCAAATGCAAACTAGTAAACGACGTAGCGGTTATCACCATGGACTCGCCAGGAGTGAAGGTACGTGTACAAAGTGCGGTGCGGTTGCTCTAATTCAATGCTGAGATATCCTCAAATAGCGACTCTCGCCTAAACTCTCGGGGCAATCTTGAAGAGGTCATTTATATCTGAGAACATCCGCCGTTACAAAGTTATTATATAAGAAATATCTATTTATCAGTTCTATCTGAAGAAGCGTACCTACCTATCAGTTGGGTGACCTTAGCATTTGACTAGATAAAATGGTCGGGTGACCTTGGTGTTTGACTAGATAAAATGGTCACATAACGCACTTATATAATATTACATCATAGCAGTTGCATTAATGCGTTCATTAAATGCTCATTGCGTAAAACTTTCGGGCCCTCCTAAAATAGAAAGAAAATATATTAACACGCAGATTTTTCTTCCATCCACGTTAACGCAGATGAACACCTTGCACAAGGAAGTATTGAATGAAATCAAGGAGTTGCTGACGGAAATCCAATCGAATCCACTTGTAAACGCGATGGTCATCATAAGTGGTAAGCCAGACAATTTCATCGCTGGCGCGGACATCAGCATGTTGGAAAATCTCACGGATGCAGAGAGCAGCTATGAGCTGATAAGGATGGGGCATCGCGTTATTGACATGTTGGCGAACAGTAACAAGCCTATCGTTGCTGCTATTCAAGGCAGCTGTCTCGGTGGAGGATTGGAGGTAACATGCAACGGACTCACGTCCAACATTTAAAATAGACGCACGAGTTAAGCCTCTTTAGCGATCGCTGCAGCTACGTTGGACTCTGTCAGAAGTGAGTCACATTGTTTTGTTCAGGTCGCGTTAGCGTGTCAATACAGGCTGGCCGTTAACAGTAAGAAAACCAGCCTTGGCTTACCCGAGGTGATGCTCGGCTTACTTCCTGGCGGTGGTGGCACTCAGCGACTGCCTCAGACAGTTTCCCTCCCCACTGCCTTGGACATGATGCTCACCGGTAGAATGATTAAGGTTGACAGAGCGAAGAAACTTGGATTGGTGGACATGGTGGTGAACCGTCTCGGTCCGGGCACTGGAACACCCGAGGAAAAGTAAAGGAAGCTTGAAATAAAAAACGTATTTGCAAATGAATGTATTCGGATCTTCCGAAAGCAAACTTTCGAGAAAATCGCGGTAACTCTTGTCAAATTTCACCTCTCCGCGCCTAACCCGGGGAAATACGATTATATATAAATGTTGTCTCGATATTCATATATAATTATTACTACGATATATATAGTCACACAGACAAAATTCGTGTATACAAGTCGCATAATTATATATAATAATATATTAATTTTATATGATTGCATATAAACATTTCTTCCCGGAAAGTTAAACGGGCTGTTTAGTATCTCGGATTAAAAAGTCCGAAAAAATCGTGTTCATCGAGTATGAAACGAGAATAAGATTCTGAAGGATTTTCCGCGAATTTCGGTGAGTCAAGGCAATTACAGATTACGCGTGTTCGTTTTTCGCAGCACACAGAGGTACTTGGAAGAGACCGCGGTGAAAGCTGCGCGGGACTTGGCGAATGGAAAGCTGAAAGCCGACCGTAGCCCGAAGTCTATTGTAGACAAGATAACGCAGCAGATTATGTCTTTAAATTTTGTCAAGGACATGGTATTCAAGAAAGCGAAAGACCAGGTGATGAAAGCAACTGGTGGCCTGTATCCCGCTCCGCTCAAGATCTTGGAAGTAACGAGGGTCGGCCTGGACAAAGGTCCTGTTGCCGGATTCGAGGCGGAGGCCAGAGGATTCAGCCAATTGTCGGTGACACCGGAGTGTAAAGGCCTCATCAGCCTGTTCTTCGGCCAAACGGCCTGCAAGAAGAATCGCTTTGGCTCAGCTACGAATGCACCCAAGTACGTCTCCGAGTAAACCTTCATATAGAATTCGACAAATTAATTATTACTACATGTTAGAAAAATATATTAATTTCATTGTACAACGTGATGAATTTTGATGATAATTATTAGATTTAATTGTCTTCTATTTGATTAATTATCGGTTATTAAAGTCACACAAAGTATAATTAGTCCACCAAATTCTGCTCTATTCTGCTTCTGTTCTTCATCGTTTCGTTTCTTTTTTTTTTTTTTTTTTTTTATCACTGTTTCATTATTTCTCATCGTAACGTATTGTGAACAGAAAAATCGCCGTGATTGGTGCGGGCCTGATGGGCGCGGGAATCGTGCAAGTCAGCATCGACAAGGGCTACGACGTTGTTATGAAGGATTCCAACGAAAGCGGACTGAATCGTGGCACGAATCAAATTCAGAAAGGCCTGCAAGATGCTGTGAAACGCAAACGAATCTCCAAGTACGGGTTACTTCAATAATATTAAATCTGTAACCAAACTGCGGTCTCTTTTAATAGAAACTCTCTGTGCAGTATGGACAAAGACAAGTATCTGTCAAAACTCGATGCGACGTTGAGCTATAACTCCTTCAAAGACGTGGACGTGGTGATCGAGGCAGTGTTCGAGGACATCAGCATCAAGCACAAGGTCCTGAAAGAGATTGAATCCATTATCCCGAGCCACTGCGTCATCGCTACCAACACGTCCGCAATTCCCATTGCGAAGATTGCTGCTGGCAGTAGTCGTCCTGACAAAGTAATATATTCTTTGTTATACATCAAATTCTACGTTCAATTACATCAAGCATATCGTTATAAGAGAAAGATTCTTAAAAACTTATATTTAAAATATTTAGGAAAAAAATTACTCATATATAATTATATGTAGAACATGTCTGTATATGAAAATATATTATTATACATATATATGTATATATTTTTTATATATGGACATATACATTCTACATGTAACATCTTATGTACGATTGTATAAAATTTTATATATAATTATATCTAATCATGCATGAATTTTTTCCCGGATACACAGTAATATAGTTATAATTAAGAAGTAAGAAACGCACGTAGATAATGAACCGTATAAAACTTGTTTTCTTCTTACAGGTGATCGGTATGCACTATTTCTCGCCCGTCGACAAGATGCAACTATTGGAGATTATAACACACAAGGGAACGTCCGAGGAAACCATCAAAACTGCCGTGGATGTCGGCCTGAAACAAGGTAAGATCGTGATTACGGTCGGCGACGGTCCTGGATTCTACACCACCAGGATAGTATCCACGATGTTGTCGGAAGCAGTTAGGCTGTTGCAGGTGAGCGAGCATTTCTCGAGCGATTACTTCTTGCAGAAACGATCGATCTAAACGCAAAACGAACGTAATTTGGTGATTAAACAGGAGGGTGTGGATCCAATGGATCTGGACAAATTGACGAAAAATTTCGGTTTCCCGGTTGGCGCAGCCACTCTGGCCGACGAAGTCGGTATCGACGTGGGTACTCACATCAGCGCCGATCTTACGAAAACTTTTGGAGAGCGCTTCAGGGGCGGTGACATAAACGTTCTCACCGATATGGTCAAGGCTGGCTTCCTCGGTAAACTTTTTTTTGCTCACCGCAGGCATTTTGCTCACGCACATAGAAAGAATTAATATTAATATTTGCCATTTGCGTCACAAATTATCTGTGTCTCGGCTTGATGCTATCTTATGCAAAGAGTTCGTTTCACACATGTTACGCGTCTGTTTCAGGACGCAAGTCGGGCAAGGGTATATTTGTGTACGAAGCTGGTGCCAAGCACAGGGAAACAAATATCGGTGCCTTAGACATCTTGAAGAAGTACAAGATCGAACCCAAAGGCAGCACGTCCGAAGAGGATCGTCAATTGAGGATGGTCTCGCGGTTCGTCAATGAGGCAGTATTATGCTTGGAAGAAAATATTCTAGCCAGTCCTGTAAGTTGATATACTTTGTGTAAGACTTGCCGGGTGACTACTTACCGTCAATAGAGAATGCAGATGTCAATTCAAAGATTTTTAACGCGACATTTAATTGAATTTTATACTATTTGCATCTCAGAAAGTTTACTTTGAATAGATTTCTTGTAGCTGACCATTCGGTAACATCTCTTTGATATCGATGAGACGTTTCTCTAACGCTGATTGAGGAAAAATAGAGAACCGTAGAATTTTGTAAATTGCTTGCTCGCCTTTGTACTCTTTGCAACCGGTGTCCTCGATATGCTTTCTGTTTATTAACAAATTATGATGTAGTTGGAAGGCAACGTGGGAGCTGTGTTCGGTTTGGGCTTCCCTCCGTTCACGGGCGGACCGTTCCACTGGGTGGACGTTTACGGTGCCCATCGACTCGTTAAGAAGATGGAGGAGTTCCGAAGCCACTACGGCGAGACTTACCGGCCGTGTCAAACGTTACTTGATATGGCGGCCGACTCTACGCGAAAGTTTCATTCGAAGTAAAAGTGCCGATAGGTGCCCGTCGATGTTTCTACGTTAATTAATCCTTTCTCTCATCCTGAAGCTATACTCCACTCGCTTCATAATCAAAAACTACCGAAATAGACACGAAGATTGCTGATCCCTCTGAATCCCGTGACTTAACTGGAAAACCCACACCATGCTCTTCGCGTGTGCGAATTTTGAGTGTCTCACTTTGAGACTAGCTGAAAGAATATCCATCGTTCTCACTCTAACACTCAGAAATCGTGAAGGAATCTTAAACGTTTCTCACGCTTTCTCTCTCTTAGTCAATTCATCGTAGGACGGATTTATAAACGGAAGTTAGCTCGGTGCTTGAGTACTTTCCGAACTACGTAAGTTAAAAAGTGACGATAACTTAATTACCTATATTGTTTACTGCTTGAGAAAGTTTCGTATAACTTGAGAAGCGATCACTTAAAAAGTTTCATATAACCCGGGTAAGATTTCTAACAGAATATTATAAGGATGTTCTGTTTTAAGTAATATTTCTACTCTAATAAGCAAGTGTAGAGAGAAGTTTGCTCTTAGTTCTACCGGAGAAATATCGCGTTTTGCGATCGATGAAAATATATAGAGAAAGTAGCGCTTCTTCAGCTTTCAGCTGCTCTTCTTGGACAACACGGGTTTGCTCACGCGAGTTTATGCGTCTCCAAATCAGACAGGATAAGAGGGGTTACGTGTCACGTTTAATATTCGGGGACCGTCGTAACGTATGTAGTAAACTATATATTTTTGGACTTGGAGTTTTTACACGGCCTGCTCAGCGTGGAAGCATTGCAGATAGAGTCGTGCATTTATTACTCTCGAGCGTTTTACACGCCGACACAGATCTTTGATACTACCGCACGCATATACATATAGGATCCTGTTTGTAAAGTAAACGAAGTTATGTAACGAATTATGTATTTCTATTTTTGCTAAGTTTATCGAGAATAAAGAGTTTCTACATTTAATTCGTGTCCTGTCTCCATCTCAGACTCCGTGTTGAGCGATTCCTTGTCATCTGCCAATCCGTCTAAATTATAACGAAGATTGTTCTGCTTTTTCTAACGTCAATGTTACAATTAATAATTAACGTGTAACGCAATTGCATAATTTTACTCTATATTTCTTCCACTCACAATTCTGTCAGTCGATACTTCCGTTATTGATTCATTATTGATCCAACGAAAGGTTCTTTTTCTAATATCAAACGATTTAATTTATAATAACGACGTATGCGGAAGTGATGTGTTCTCGCGTTTAGCAGCGGACTGATGAGGTCGACCTGACGAAAGAAAAACAAGAAAGAAAGAATAATAAACCTGTCTGGTAATTAATATTACCCTGTCGCGCACGGACGCAATAAAAAAATGGAAATATTTAGCTTGATGCAACAGCCGAGAGATGTTGCGCTCTTGTTTGCGCCGGTATCTTTCTCGCTAAGGCTCACCGCCGGCTTGAAAGTCAAGTCGAAACACAAATAGCCGAGATAGAAGTTTTAATTCATTAATCGCCCCGGTTGCATCTCGAGACAGGATCGGTCCTCCAGAAATGATCTTCACGATCTCTTCCGAAATTTTTCCACGTCCCGCAAGTCCGGAAAAATTCACGACTCGTTTCTCGGGCGCGCACGTTTGAGGATGACAGATTACATTATCGCGTTATAAACACCGAGGATATATTAATCGTCTGGCGCGCATAAAATCGTCCAAATTCGACTTCCCCTTATCGGACGTTCGCTCGGCTGGTTAACAACGAAAGTGTTTAATCATTGCGAATAAAAAAGGCAGCGACACGGAGACAAATGGCGGCTCGGCTCGCCCCGGCGAATCCGCAATTCCACGCACGAGCTCGCCTTCCGGTTTTTTCGCAAGCACCTTGCCGCTCGAACTTCGAATTTCAATAAAGGTGAACGAAGGGTAATCTCGAGGATATTTTGCGTCATCTACCGGTCCAGCGCACCTGTTTGTGATATCGTCGCTCAATGAGACCGAGTCCTTGGCTGATGCAAGAAAATCGGAGATTTCGCGAGCTACCGCCGTCGCGTCGCCGTTATGCGCACGACGACGATGTTGTTCTCGCTCGTCCTGTTTCTGGTGCCACCGGCTCCGGAAAAGTCCAGAGAGACGACCGGAGCACCGCCCTCGTGCGACGCTCGTTGCGCGCCCACGTGAGCGAAAACGCCCGGCGGGGCTCCGCGCCGAGGAAAACTCGCGACTTCGGTCTCGTCTCCGGAGCAGAACAAAGAGTTGTAGAAAAGGCAAGAAGACGGTGAAAAATTCGGACTGAACCAGCCAATGAATGACTTGATTTCTTGAACGATTGTGAAGAACCTCGGCGCTATTTTTCAAATCAAAAATTTTCATCTTCATTCTTCTCGGAACGTACTCTGTGTAGTAAGTTGAATCTTTCTTGCATAACTGTTGCCAATTATCATCTTATTGGAATTTAAATACGAAACATGTAGAATAGGATCACGAAGATAGTATCCGTTCTGCAGACCGCTCCGCTCTTACGGAATCGTTCGGCAATAACATGTGGATGAGATAATTCCTATTGAGAGAATGAGTTTCCTTGCGAATTCATTACGGTTACATTTACATTATGACTATAACCGGTATTTTCCTGATATGTTACGACGTCAATTGCCAGACACGTCTCGACACTTGTGCGCGATAAGGATAACGTCTGGCGGATTCTAGGTAAGACGCGAGATAAAAATTTCGTCGCTCCGATAACATTGGAATTCAATAGGATTTCAGAATGATTCGACAATCGTGCGCGTCTTATGACGTGCAAGTTTTGTTTCCTAATTTTCGGGCATAGATAATGAATCGCAAATATGGAAAAACAGTGATCCTTCGGAGTGAATAAAAATCAATGAAATATAATGAAAAAAATGAGATCTTCCATGAATCATGGAACAGGATAGAAAATATGTTTCTTGATCAAAAATGAAAGAAAACATTTGCTCCATGCGTTGATGTATAAAACTTCTTTATCAAAGAGCTTTATTATCTCTCAATCAAAAAGCACCTCTTTCCATACGGTCAGCCCGTATTTTTAGAAAGTGTACGAGTGTTTGCGACTGTCACCCACGATAGCACGGATAGAAACGGAGATCGCCGTCTCGTCGCTAATAATATTTTCACCTGGGGCTGCCAGACAAATTTTATCGATGTCAGCGACCTCGCGAGCGCAAAGTCCGATCGGCGACTTTCTAGCAACAACGATCTCCTGAGTTACAATCGCAACAATATCGCGTTCCGCTTTTCCTTTTTACTTTCGACGCAAACGTTAACAATAATATCTCCACACTACGACTCTCGAATATTTGAAAATATTCCCTCATCAAGTAACAATGTAAAAACATCTATAAAATATTATGTCAAAATCTTTCTCAAATCCGCATGAAATTAATATTTCGACTTCACGTTCCTCGCTTCCCACCGGGTTTCTTTCTTTCTCAATAGGGGTAGCATTTCGGGCATTTTCTTTTCCTCGAGTCCAGCGAGTTTTCGTTCCACGACAACTCCGACGACTTTTCGCGCGCCGATCGCGTCTTCTTATCGTAGAGGCCGATGTCACGTGAAGCCACGTGTGCGTGAGCGACGCGAGATCGACTCGATGCGTTGTTAGACACGCCGATGTCATCACCGACGAATGCGACTCGTGCGGCGCATGCTCCGAGGCTGACGGTCGCGTGTGCCTCGAGAGTATCTTCGGGGCATTCGCGTGGCCTCGTTCGGTTTCCCCTCTCGTTATCGCGCTGACCATCTCGCGCCGCGACCTTCCTCACGGAATTTAATCCGCGTCTCCTCAACCCGCTCCGGCTGCACGAGAAGATCCTCGCTCCTTCCCCCTGAAAGGAAGGAGGAAGTTCCGGAGCGGAAAACACGCGGTCCTTTTCTTGAAATCCCGATACTTTGCTCCGCCCGCGGGCGATTCTTCAAGAAAACGCTTATATGCGTCGAAGCACCGGCGATACGCAGTTTGCGCCACTTGAATTACTTCGCTTATGTTTGATTTCAGACCTTTCTTAGATGCCTCTTAAATGTTTATATACGACATATTTGCCGCTGTCCGGGCACGTCCCGCGCTCGTTGCTACTTGAAGCAATGGAAATTGCACAGAAAAAATGTTGTTTAATATAAACAATAATAAACGATAATTCAACATCAAATATCATTTTGCGTTTGAAGAAAAATATCGCTGAACTATGTTGGTTGATAGAAAGAAAAACATTAGTTACGAGAAATAATTGCTTTTCAATGGGAAGAAATTTATTTCGTTACACATTAAGTATTGTTCCACTGGAACAAAAAGAAGCTCCTTAATATTTATAATTTCCTTAACATCTTTCTAACGTGGCGTTACTTTTTTCAACCGATTTACCGACAACCACAGCAACGTTGGAGTAAAAGTACCAGAAAAATATATCATCTGATGTGAAGATACTTACTGTTTGAGAAACCGAACAATCCTGTTCGCTGAGTCGAACATTTGCCCGCTCGCTCCGTTTCAAAAGACAAGCTTGTTTCAATAAAAAGTCGAATGTTACATAAATCCGAAGAAATCTCTTTCTTATTTATGTAACGTTTCACGAGTTAACAAGAGGTCGCGGAAGCGGCAAGGGGGACGAGAGGGAAGAGACGCAACGGCAGCTGGATCGACGAACGATTCTTACGAAAGTATACAATTATTTATTTGACCGTAGAAAAATCTTTACACAGTTTAACGATACATATGTACAGTGAAGTCTTGTGACACCGGGCGAAATTCCTTCAACCGGCCGTGATACGATATGGACGTTTCCCGGGCGCACCGCGACGATTACGAGAGGCCTCGTGCGCGCGGACACGAGAAATATCGGATAAACTCTGGAAGAAGAAAACAACACGTCGCGAGGCCCCGGAGAAAACGCCGTGAGAATCGTGCGACTCTCGAAGACAACAAAAACTAGCAACAAAATCGTCCCCCTCCCGAGGGGGAAGCTTCTCCGACCTCGCCGTTGGATCCGGCCCTGCGTTCTGTCTACGATCAACATGTTTAAACTAGCCATCGGCGATCTCTGTAATCTTAGAAGCCGCTACATAACTGCTATGTACATAAATCATAATCACACATCTCGCTTCCTCATAAATAAATATTATTCCTCCTCCCCTCTCCCTCCCTCCCTCTGTCTCTCGGTCAACGCGCTCGATTAGCGCTCGCGTTTTCCTGCGCGAAGTGGAACAGAAAAATCACGATGACGTGAGAAAATGACTGTGACTTCTCGTACGGCGGAAAAACTCGAACTGGTACACAAGACCATTGAGATACGTCTCAAGGACGTCTCGTGTCTCGGTTTCAGGCTGCCGTCTGCGCCGTCACCTTTCGATCACGATCCGATCGCGCTTTCTCGCCATTTTCACCGTTACTTCGACGTTATCGTGACTTTCTGCTCCACCCGAGCTGAGGCCTCTGTTCACCGAGAGAGAGCAGCTGGCTCGTCGAGAGCGACTCGAGTGTCCAAAGTTCTTCTCTCGCGTCTGATCTGAATGGGACGTCGTCGTTTCCAACACGGACGACGACGTCCGTCGTGGTGGCTCCTCGACCTGAGGAGCGTCGGCCGCGTCGCCGAATACACGCGAGCGACTCTCGTGATCGCCCTCTCAAAAACTCAACTGTACACTAGCCTTCACACGTCACGGATCACAGACACACTTAGGTACTCGGTTCGGCCGGACGGTGACGAGTCCTCGCGTGCGGTGACTTATCGCCGTCTCGTGTTTTTTGCTACGTCTCCTTAAGTACGCCCTCTGCCCCCACCCCCTCTCTCCTCGGTCTCTAGACCTGCTTAGCTTCGCATATCCACGTCCTTCCCACCGTGCTCACATACGTCAGCTGATTTACGTCCTATCTCCTCCCCCCTCCTCATACTTCAAATCTCGATGCCCTTCATTCGTCACCCTTCCGTCCGAGCAGATGATGCGGGTCGAGATCGAGTTTCCGCCGGCACGTGCTTCCAGCGGGGCGCGCTCGGTCGACGCTCCCCCGACCTCCCCCGCCCGGGAGCGGCTCGAGTATCGAAATATGGAGGCTCGCCATCCTCGTCTCCGCGCGCTGGGGACGGGAACCAACGCAGACGCGCGGGGACCACGAAGTGCAGCTTTCAGGCGACCTGGCGGTCGCGGTCCGGTTGCTTTCAAGCCGCCAACTGCGGCGGCAACAGCTGGTGGACCGGCCGCGCCGTCAGCCGCGGCGCCAGCACCGGCAGCAGGCTCACCCTCAAGGGCGTCGCGGCCACCTGCGAGGCTGGGATCCGGCCGGGGGGAGAGGTGGAGGAGGCCGACTTGTCCCTGGCGTGGCGCTTCACGTGCTTCGCCAGATGGTCGCTCCTCATGAAGCGCCTCTGGCAGACCGCGCAGGCGAACTTCTTCTCGCCGGTGTGGGTGCGCTTGTGCCTCGAGAGCTCGTCGCTGCGGGAGAACCGGCGGTTGCAGTCCCCGTACGGGCACGGGAACGGCCGCTCGCCGGTGTGGGTGCGCGTGTGCGCCTTCAGGTGGGACGACTTGAAGTAGTTCTTGCCGCAGCCCGGATGCCCGCACTCGTAGACGCGCCGACGCGCCTCGACCGGGCTCGCGATCTGCGCGACCGGGGTCGCCGGCGCGGCGTTCGCCACGAGCAGGAGGGGCGCCCGGGGCAGGACCAAGGATGAGCCCAGCAGGCTGGCCACCACGATGGGCGCCGGCTTCGGCGCCAGGGGTTGCAATCTGGGTAATTGTTGCGGACCGCTGCTCTCACGGTCGGTGTTCTTGCTGTTGACGATGATCTCCTCCTTACGCAGGCTCATCTTGAACTTCAGGCTGCGCAGCACGTTCTCCACCAGCGGAGCGTCCGGTCGCGCGCTCGCCCGCGGACTACTGGCTCGCTGTCGCGCGACGGCCCGCTGCTGCTGCTCACGTGGCGCTGACCCGGCGATCGCCGGGCTCCCCGTTAAATTCGCGGGACTGCAAGTGCCGTCCCGATTGGCGCGCATTATCACCGAGACCCGGGCTGGCTCCGGGCTCGGCGGCGGCGTGCCGTCTAGCAGCAGCTGAAATGGGAACAGGTGGACCCGTTCAGTCGAGAGCTTGGATATAAATATTGGGACGTCGAGTGCGCGCCTGGCGCAGGAGTCGAGCGAGATCGGAGGACCCGGGAACGAGAGAAAGGCCGCGCGCTCGGCGGAGGAAGAAGTGATTATCACTGGGACTGGGCCGTTTCTCTTTTTATTCTTGATACACTCAGGAGAATGCGCCAATCAAGGGCAACGATCGTTGAGAGCGGTGTCCGCAATGATAACTCGAGCCGTAAGACTTGGGCTTTAAGCCTCGAGCTATAATTGTTCCTTCTAGATCGAAAAGAATCATTCGATCTCGGCTCGGAAAAGTTCCAACAGTTGCGAAATCAACCGTCCCGGCCCGGTTTTCTCCGCTGAACGCGCGCGAAGATTCATTGAAACTCATCGAAAGGCCCGAGACGCCGGAGCTGCTGGAGGTACGGTTCCGTCCGGTTTTCGGGCACATCGCGAGCCATCTACCTGCGAAAGGCGAATACATCGGCCTCCCGGACTTTATCGGAAAGTTATATCATCGCGAGATACGCCTACTCGAAGGATAAACGGCGTAGTGAGGGAAATGGCGCGCTCGAACGGGGTCGTATCGCAACAACTCGGGTCTGGGCTCGCGCGACGTTCCAGCCGATTAAATCGAAAGGAGAAATCGAAGGGAGAACGGAGAAAGAGAGGAGTGTTTGCAAGCAAAGTCCGTCTGTCGATAAGGCCATCCGCTGTTTACCTTCGCCAGCTCGCACTGCTCGACGCATTGCCGCTTTCGCGGCGGCTCGTCCTCCTCGGTGTCCGAGGGCTGAGGAGTGGGCGGCAAGACAGGATGCGCAGGATCCTCCTCGTCCTTTCGCCCGGTCTTCTCCAATTGGCCCGGAAGCTTCTCCCCCAGTAAAGCAGCGACGCTGAACGACAATTGCAGCGGTTCCATCTGCGGGACAAAGAGAGACGTGAGGAGGTAAGAAACGTATCCTTTTGGCGCGCTCGAACGCCGAAGGAATGAGAAATAAAAATGGCCGTATCGCCGACGCGGAATAAGTTAACAGCTGAGGGATGTGATTTCAAGGCGGGCGCGACTGAAAGGTAAAATATATGCGAAATCTTGGATTTATACTCTTATAAGAAATATTTGAATATATTCCCTACATTGAGAAGATCAAATGGTACGACGAATCGGTAGCCTTGTTCGTACCGTCCGTGTTGCTGATCATTCCCGCTTGACTTTTTCACTTGTTTACTCAAACCCAGACCTTACTTCTCATTCCTCGCGTCTTGGTTCGGCGTGTCGAAATTTTTTTCGTTCCTCGCATCCGAGAGAGAAAAACGCAGAGACGGTCGCTTTCACTATCGCCGAGATACGAGCTCACTTTTCCGTTGGATCAAGACGCGAGTCTCAGTTCCGAGAAGTTTTATCTCGAAAAAGAGACGTTACCGAGACAGACGAGTAACCCCCCCCAGAACAAGATATCAAAACCACCGATAGTTTTCTCAACATTTCCTTAACATTCAAATCAGTCATTCAAAGTCCGAGGAATATCGTACGAGGGGGGAGGGGAGTTGAATACAATTTCCCGAGCACCGAGTACGAGAAGAGCAACCGCGGCCGACAACACGATGGACGAGAAGGAAGCCCAGCGAACAAAAGGACCCCCCGTAACAGAGCCCCGAGACGCGCGAGAGAGTTCGAGTTTCGCGGGCGCCGAGCCGCGATGTGGCGGTAGATTTAACTCGCTGCCACTTACGTGCTTCAGCTGGGGCGAGGCCGGCGGCGAAAGAGGCGCCTGGTTCGCGTCCATATTCGCGCAGGACCGACGGCACCGGGCAGGCAGGACAGAGAGAGAGAAAAGAAAGGTCTCGAGGCACCGCTCGAACGGAGGGAGAGGAACGAGATAAAGAAAAAAAAGGGAAAATAGTGCACGAGCACACACACGATAGCGGCCGAGCTTACGCGCTCGGCAGGAGCGGCCGGTGGTTCGTACGTGGCGGCGTCTCGCAGCGCAATGAAGCTTTCTCGGGTCGCCGCTGCCTTGGGACGCGCCGATCCGTGCCGCTGCGTGTATGCGTGATCGCACCGCGGCCGCGAGCGCGGCCAATCGCGGCGAGGGGCTCGCCGGCCGCCGGCCAATCCGCGCCGGCCGATCAGGCCGGCGCCGCGTGATCGCGGGCGTGCTGTTCACGTGCTCCCGGTCTGACTCGGGCCGTGATCGTGACGTCAGCGCGCGTGGCGAACGCGGTCGATACGTCATGGCGTCACGGCGCGTCCCGAGCGTCATGCAACTCCACGCCTCCCGTACTCTCTCTCTCTCTCTCTCTATCCGCCGCGAATGTGCGTCCCGCTCGCGCTCTGTCGCGCGTACGCGCGCCGCCGGTCGGTCTCTCTCTCTCTCGCTCACTCTTGCCGCGTGCGTTCATTCGCAACCGTGAACGGCCTCGTCTAACTTTATGCGCGTGGCTCTCTTCGTCTTCTTCGCGATACAAACTCGGATCTCTCGTTCCTTCTCTCGCTCGATCCTTTACTCCGCTTCTTATTTTATGCAGACGCAATGACCCTTGTTCTAAACTTCGCTGTTTTCGCCAATGTTGCGTTATTCCCACCGCGTATTTGTGCCGTCCGCGATTCTCCCGAATAGTATCTCTCTCCTTTTCTCCGTTTTCTTCCTTGTTTCTCTCTCCCCCACTTGCGGTGTTAATCCGTAAAAATCGTGCAGCGCTTGATTTTTACGCTCCTCCGCTATCAGCAGAGAGTTTCGCGACGTCTCCGTGAAAGCGAGAGAACGCGACTTCGTGCGCGCCGGAGATCTATTAATATTCCCGTAGAATTGTTATCACAACATTGCGCGCGAGGTTCAACCCGGCGATCGGCGATTGTAATTTCAAGGTATTCTACGAATTCTCGAGCCTGCACGATCTCTCTCTTTCTCTGCTTCTCCTCTCCCTCTCTCTTTTGTTCTCGCTTTATTCCCTGTGACTCCTACACCGTGACACACCCGCATCCGGTGTGCGTGTCGGGCATCCGAACGAGCCCGCGGCGCGAGCCCCCGAATCGGCAAGATGTTGTAGAAGCACTTGACACGTCGAAGATTCATGTCGTCGCGTCGCGACGAAATGACGCATCGCGAAGGCGGCCGTCTGCAAATGTGTGCCTGCAATAAAGAAAAACAACGGATTACGGAGACGACGTTCGTGGTCGTTTCGTGGCGCGCCAACGATCAGGTGCGCCAGGTGCGACGCCACGGTATTACTGCGAATTCCCTCACACGCACTACACCGAATTAGTGCACGTTAAAAGCTGCCGCACGTAAAGTATCCGAATAGAGTAGTGGTACACGAGCACTTTGACGATGAAATAATTAATAAGGTCGGTCTGTTCTTTCCTGTACCGCGTACAATATCTACAAAATATTTAAAAGGTGTAGATATTAAATATTTTGTTAATATTCAGACATTCAGAAAAGTCGGGTATAAGATTATGATAAATATTCAAAAGTATTTACGAAGAATATTCTTCGTAAATAATTAAAAGAGTAATAAATATCCTTCGTAAATCATTGAAATGGTTTTAATTCACTGAAATCGCGTTTTTCTTGCTTATGGGAAATATTCTTCTAAATATTGTTGAATATTTATCATGATTTTTCTCGTACCTGACTTTCCCGGACTAATCATCCCGTTAATATGCGACAATATCATTATTAATTATGCTTAATCGTTAAAAATACTTGTATGTTTCTTTTATTTAAATCACTACTTCACATAAAGCAGCCTTCGGCATGCACCGATGTAGCGCGGGTATGCCGTGAGATGACGCCTTTCTTCGCATTTCGATGTTTCTGTTTATCGATTTGCTTACGAGGTGAAGAAAAAAAGTGGTGACAACAATTCGTGGGAGATAACAGGAGCAAACAGCCGAACCAATGAGATGCGTGTGTGACAACCTGATAATAAATCGTTCCGTGTTATCTTCGTCATTCTCCCCATCTTCGCAGATAATGACACGACGTGGCCGTTGATTATTACGCCGGGTATATTTAATGAGAGACTGGTAGACACGGTCGATGTGTTTTCATGGATGAAGGAAATCTTTGAATCTTCTATCAAGAGAGGTATGTCATTATAAAGGGATAAATTATCCCAGAATAGACAGAAATGTTGAATATAGCGTGCAAACATTTAATGCATGCCTTCTGATACCGTTGCAACAGCACGACATGTTTGAAATACGCTTGTTTTAAAAAAAAATATTCATTTGTTACACTATGATTTTTATCAAAATATTGACTACCTGTCACTACGATAATTACGGATTAATTGCGTTCTCCTTCGGAACTTAAATAACAATTCCAAGCAAGAAACGTTAAATCGATCTTTGAAACATTGATTTTATATCGATTTTATAAACATTTTTATATAATATTTTACAAGTGTTTTCAAACTGTTATTTGATAATGTAATATTCCTAAATATTACCATCATAGTGTAGAAATATTATTCTTAACGTTGCCGCAACATTGCCGCAATTTTCAGATTAGTATCAGATGATCTTCCGCACACTGACAAAATGTTCGTTGTACGAGGACGCATTTTCCAATATTTACGCTAACCACGACGCAGACAATACAGCGAAGTGTGTCTATCCGGACTGAAATGTGAGGATGAATCAACTCGGGAGAAAATTCCGAAATCTCGATGATCGATCAAATTGGAGAATCCGCTAAACTTAGCCGCAGACTCGAGATGCCGTTCGACACTCTTCGCTCGTTGCGCTTTAATGTTATGAAGCGACAATTAAGTGACGCGCGGAAAAGGTCCAAGGTCCAATCCGCAAGTGGAAGCACTCGGTTCCTCGATCGAAGACTGTGTTAAATATATCAGCCGCCCACCTCTCGCAGGCTGCTCGATTTGGGTCGTCGGGCTTACAGCGGTTCTTCGATAGGTTCTCAGGGGAATTCCCTTGGGCGCGTTCCGGATGCGCATTTCCGAAGCTGAGCGCGACACGGACAAACGCTCAAGACCGACGTGCAATCTCGTGTTCAAGAGCACGAGATACAGCAGATCGAATTACTTCCGGGAAACGCTGTTTACGTTATGAAGACTTTTCGAGATATCGCGTGTACCACGTGTGCCGAACGAACGGCTCGGAAGTCTCGCGTCGAGCGAGGATGGCACGTGAAGAAAAACGCAAGCGGCAAAACTTGAACGATAAGCAAATCGATCAATCACGCTCGGGAATTTCAACACGACAGTCTCTTACGTTCTTGATAATTCTCGAATGCGGTTGGCCAACTCGCTCGCGTCCTTCGCTACTTACGCTCTTCGGCGCGTGTCAATTTTTATGTATCGCCTCGTTCAAGTTAAATACGTAACTTAAAGAGGCCACTTTTTTTTTCCATTTTTCGGAAAGAAAACGGACAAATCCGTAGAAAAACATTTTTTTTACCTACAGCATGAGTGGGAAAAATTTTCTCTTTTTACATAAGATAATAGAGTAATAGATAATAGAGTATAATAGATAATAGAGTATAATAGATAATAGATAATAGATAATAGATAATAAAAACAAAAAGTACATAAAACGACGATAAGGGCAACGAATAAAGAAAAAAAATGTACGTACGGCATTAATTAATTTACGCGAGAATTTTTTCGCGTTCTCCCAAAAAGAAACTGAAGACCGATTTTTTTCCAAGGCCTTAAAAGCATACCAGGCAACACGGTGTGTCTAAAGTCGACGACACGAGACGTCTCTTTAACACTAATATAATAATTGATAATGATTAATTAATTAATTGAGACGTCCTATGTCCCGATTTAAGACGCTGTGTTATCCGGTCGTAGAGCTGTCATATCGAAATTCTCGCGGATGGCCGCGAATTGTCGACCGGCCGGTGTCTCGTTTTGTCCCGTTTCTTCGCCCGCGGCGGCCCTCTGAGATCGCTTGAGATCCCGCGCCCTTTCCGAGGAGGGGAACATCGCCCGTCCATTTCTGGCACGCGTTTGTCGTCATTATTGCACACCATTGTCTGTCCCGCCTCGTGGAGACAACACGCGCGCGAGTGCAAATCAGCCGGCGAGCTCGTGATCGGCGATCGCAGCCTCGTCCGCGCTCGCTATCTCGCGAGTTAACGCCGACGCGCAAAAGTGTCGTTGATCTTGTTTTGAAGCCGGGTATATCAGGCGACGAGCAAGTCTCGCGTGCATACGTACGGGAATTCCGAGCGGCAGATCCTGAAAAAAAAGCGGCCTATCTCTCTCTCTCTCTTTTTCGTTTCTCTCAGCCGGCGCGAGATCGATCGTGACGTTCGATCGACGCCGAAAAGGAACAACCATCGCGTTATCTTCAATGATAGCCACGGGATTATCGTTTTGTACACATGGACCTTCGGGAGCCGACGCCGTTCGATGACAGAGGATAAGGTGGCGACGCGATGTCGTCTCTCAACCTTGCCGACTTCGATCCACGACCGGCGCAGACGAAGAGAAACCGTTCAAATAACGCGAACTTGTAGAGGACGTTTCATTCAGAAGAAAACGAGGAATGACGATGACGTCAAAACGACGTCGAAATCGTGAGGAATTGAACGAAAAACGGGGATTTTCGCAGTTATTTTCCCGTCATTTTGACGCAATCGAGATTTCCTGTTTTACCTGATTCATATTAATAATTATTATTTAAACCTTGATCAATCCGGCAATCCGGCTGAAAAACTCGCGTCTAACTCTAAATTTGTGTCTGAGTGCCTCGCCTGAGGCAAGTTTTAAATGACGATTGTTAATACGGGTCTTAAAAACGTTTAAAACACGTCTTAATAGACGTCGCTTGAAACTTCTCTCAGCGAAATGCTCAAATTTGAATTTCGAGTCGAAGACTTTGGATTGAATTGCGATTGCAAATAATCATAACGTCGCATACGACTGCGATTCAATTGAAATATTCAGATCTGACTTGCCGCGAGAACATTCCTCATATATAATTATATCTATAGAATATGCCCGAATATAAAAATATATAATAATATCTAAAAGATTTTCTCCCGGGCCTGAATTGAGATTCGAGTATCTCGCTCGAGACGAATCTCAATTGAGACGTAAAAGACGTGTAACCTAGTAAACGGCAAATATCCAGTAACATCGATGTCGTAATGTCCGATACAACTATACAACTGTTACATAACACGTGGTGTTACAGACACACCGTCAAATGTATCTTACAATTCCGCTGTAAAACTCAGATATCTAACGTTGAATATCTGAGTATCTCACATGAGACAAGTCACCACTATTAGTAAAGACTCAAGAAACGCGTCTTACTCTCCTTCTTTAGAAACTCGGGTCTTTAAGATTCGCATTGTCATCAACCGGAAAATCACGCATAGTTCCATTAACAAAGCCGTGGTCGCACGTGCTGCGCGCCTTGTTGACACGCGGTGTCGCGACCGGTAAATAATTCATCAGGCGCGTGTTACACTTTAGGTGCGAAAACGTTTGTTTACGGCCTGTGCTCGGCCGTATAATAAACAGCAATTATCGACGGCGGGGAAAGCGACTCGGACCACCGGATTCTTAGGGTCGCGTCGATAGCGCTAATTGATGGTCCACAGATAAGGTGTGTTACTGGGTCAGCATAATCAAACTTGAGCGCGCGATAAAACCGTTGAAAAATCGGACGAAATAACGCGAGGAGAGGAACCGAGAAACAAAAATCCAAAGAGGCACGTTCGTCCATTCTCGGAGCGCCGTTTCTCTCGAGTCGAATTTATGCTTTCACGTGTGATTTGTTATATTATTGCACAGGTCACTCAATGAGCCTTTCCGGACAAAATACTGCGAAGAAAAATTAAAAAAATAAATAAATAAATAAAACACACAATATCGAAACTGCCTGTTGAATGATTCTGTATAAAACTGATTAAGTTGTAACTTAGAAATGTTCTTTGTACAGTTCGGAAGCGATGACTTTGCCACTTCTACTCGTGTATCCGCATATGTAAATAATAAAATTTGAAAAAAAATTAAGATTCATCCTTTGTGTTTGTCATATATATAAATTTTCGATATAAAACTCGGCTGGAAAATAAGATTAAAGATCGAACGATTGCCGTCTTTCATAAAACACGATATACCTTCCCGCGAAAAGCGATAATAACGTAATGCCTTTACTATACCTGAAACTAGAGAAACTTTAAGCTGTAAAATACCGTCTGAACCATCTCATTATCATCATTTTTGCCGAAGTTACAGCCTATTGAAATTTGCGTACTTTTCATGACCAAGTAAAAAGAGTCGTACCCGCCGTTGAGTTGTACTACTTGGAAATAAAAGCACGCCGGACTCGACATCGACTCGCACTACGATCTCGATTCTCGACGGTGGCGGCTCGTGGCGGTGACTTCGGAACTACTTCAGAAGAAGGAATCCGTTACACCTGCTAATACGCTACCTGGCGCCATCGATGATACGTTAACAAAATTAATTAAGCACCAGCGGGATATGATTTAAATGATACCAACCGCAGCCCGACAACTTCGTAACGATAATATCAACCTACGCGTCGTTACGCAACATTCTGCCATACATAAATACCTGCACAACGTTAACGTTAATGGAACTTTCGTTAAAAATTATAGAACCGACTTACTGAAGCGTCATTTTAATTGCTTCCAAAGTATTATTAGATACGCACTTCTGAACATCACACGATTGACGTCATTTCTGAACAAAAACAGTTTATTACACATTAGCATTAATGCATAATTTCGCAGTAACGCGACCGTAAAGAACGACGAGAGTAATATCGATTTTAATGTTGATTTAGTTTTTCCTCCAGCAGTGTTCTCGGCAATTCGATTGTTCCGTAGTTGTAAGCATCTTATTTAGGTCAATGTTAAAGATAAAACTGAAATTTGAAGCGTACATTGCGCATAGTCGTGGGGACGCTTCAAGATAACCGATTCGTGTGACCAAAAGCGTCATAAGTCATAGGGCCTGATTCCAAAGTGCGCGTGCTCGTTTTCTCATATCTCGCAATCATTCCGCGAGTGAAATCTGAAACAAAAGAAAATATGCTGCCTTTGACGAATTTGCCGCCGATAGCGAGGCTGTCCAACAACATAATCCGGATTCTGGGCTGCAATCCTGGACCGATGACCCTGCAGGGCACCAATACTTACCTCATAGGCACAGGACATAGGTGATCGAAACGTTAATTCTGCTGTTCAATCGATCTCATCCTCATAAATAGTTACGACACGATCTTCATTGCAAATTTTCACAAAAGCGTGCGACGCTGTCCCACGCAAAAGAGAGAACTTAAGTGCACCCTCTATGACGTAGGAGGATATTCAATTATTGAAGAGAGATATTCTTTTTGAGGTTAGGAAACTTACTATCCCGCGCATGGAAACGTATTCACGCATCGGGAACGACGCGAGATTTCAGATCACATCGATCATGTAACTTTTCTCGTAAGGCGGAAATGTGAAAAGTGATACGTTTCAAATTAGAAAATTCGCAAAATTTGTACCTCTTACATGTTCACATCAGAGAAGATTTGTAACCATCCGAGTGTTGATCGTGAATCTTTTCCTCCAGCCTGGATTCGTCAAAAGTGTGAATTTTCTAATGTGAAAACACTTCAATTTTTACATTTCCGCCCTGAGTGAAAACGAATATGATCGATATCCCGATAGTATAGTAAATAGATCACTTTCTCTCTTTCTTTCCCCAAGTAGAATAAGAAAAAAATGACGATTCTCGTCGAATCGATGAGAAGATTACCGAAGGGTGAGTTTTTCCAGATATTCCTCGTCATTTCGACGTTATCGTGACTCCCCATTTTGTCATTCCTAATGCATGAATAAAAAACTACTTTATATTATACAGACGCGTCCTGATCGATTCCGGGGAGGCGAAGACGAGCGAGGCGTACACGAAGCTGCTGGGCAACGTGCTGCGCGATGAAAACGCGACGATCGAGCACATGCTGATCACTCACTGGCACCACGACCACATCGGCGGCGTGGAGTCCGTATACAGCCTACTGAAGAAGCTGTTCCCCGAAAGGAAGCGACCCACCGTGTGGAAACTGCCACGCGCGCCGTACGACGACGGGGAGTCCCCGGACGAGACGTCTATCCAGTGGCAGCCCCTCCATGACGAGCAGGTGATGAAGATCGAGGGAGCTTCGCTCCAGGTGAAGTACACACCTGGGCACACGACCGATCACGCCTGCCTGCTGCTGCAGGACGAGAACGTCCTGTTCAGCGGCGATTGTATCCTCGGCGAGAGCACCGCCGTCTTTGAGGACCTGCACCAGTATTTGCTGTCGTTGGAGAAGATCCTGAAGATGCAGCCGAAGAGAATCTACCCGGGCCACGGCCCGGTCCTGGACGATCCCCTGCCGCACATCCGGTATTACATCCAGCACCGGCAGCAGCGGGAAATGGAGATCTTGAACATTTTCAACCATCAAATAGGCGAAGCGCCGGTCACGGACGCAGACATCGTCAGACAGATATACAAGGTAACGTTGATACGCCGTGTATGCCGATAGCAGTCGGTCGATTCGTCGTGAAGTGAGAACGGAACGTACGTTTGCCTAGGACACTCCTGAGAATCTGCTGTTCGCCGCGGCGTACACCGTGAGGCACCACCTTGCCAAGCTGCAGAAAGAGGGGAAAGTTTTCCAGAACGACGAGGGTGACTGGTATCTTCAAAATAAACTGTAACTCCCCTCCTCTCCCCGGATCTCACCAGGGGAAAGAGGGGAAATGGGAAATTTAAGAAAATTAATAGTAGCGAAAGTAACACGGAGGCTTCCCTCGCGCTGCAGTCGTCCCCGTTTCTTGCGAGATACGAGTCAATGAGGATGTACGAAGGATCTGAAATGACACTCGTGGCCGATCGGTCGCACTTCTAAAACTTTCCGGGAGAACCTCCTTTTGGCGTCCGAGGAACGATCAATAAATAACTGTTAAATTAATACGAGACGCAACTTTCCTCTTTTCGGCATAATCGAAGTGACTGCTGCGAAAGAAAAAGAACAAGCGCCTTATATTAAGGTATT